AAGCGTTTATAGAAATTGGGCTAAATCAATCAAAACGAGATGAGTGCATATATTATCTTTGCAAGGATAATAAGATTGTAATTGTCGCAGTCTATGTAGATGATTTACTCATTTTGGGCAACGATTCAAAAATGAAAAATGAATTGAAGAAAGAATTGGAAAGCAGATTCAAAATGAAAGATTTGGGAGAATTACAGTATATCCTGGGAATTCGGGTAACAAGAGACAGAAAAGAGGGCAAATTATGGTTGGACCAATCAAAATATTTAGAAGAGGTTTTATCAAAATTCAACATGGCAAACTGCAATCCGACTAAAACTCCGTTAAGTCCATCCGAGAAGCTAACAAAAGAAATGTGCCCAAAATCAACGAACGAGGTTCAAAACATGGAGAATGTACCATATCAAGAGGCAGTTGGGTCATTGATGTATGCATGTCAGGGTACGCGTCCGGACCTGGCATATTCTCTAGCGTTATTGAGCCGATTTAACAATAATCCAGGCTCTGCTCACTGGTCAGCTGTGAAACGAGTCCTTCGATACATCCAGGGCACAAAGGACTTCAGACTCTGTTTTACAAGGACAGAGAATGGAAAACTTGCAGGTTTTTGTGACGCAGACTGGGCAGGTGATGAAGATGAGAGACGGTCAACCACAGGATATGTCTTTACATTCCAAGGGGCCCCTGTATCATGGAATAGCAAGAAACAACCCACCATTGCTTTATCCACAACTGAAGCAGAATACATGGCTCTAAGTGCAGCGGCGCAAGAAGCTATTTGGTTACAGGGCCTTCTAAATGAATTAATGCCTGAAGTCGATGACGAAGGACCTATTCTGAAATGTGACAATAAAAGCGCAGTGGATCTGAGTCGAGTGGGAGGATACAGAGCAAGGACAAAGCACATAGATGTGAGACATCATTTCCTTCGTGAGCAAATTCAAGAAAAGGCCATACAAGTTCAACACATTGCTTCGAAGGAAATGACAGCTGATGTGATGACCAAAGCATTACCTCTGGAACTGCATGAAAAGCACCTGAAGGAAATGGGACTCAAGAAGCGTTAATTTTACTTTATTTAAATTTAAAAATTTTTGTTGTTGATAGTTGTAGTTTTCTAGTGGGAGTGTTGATATTATAGAAAACTACCCTTTTGCTAACTGTATTACCGACATAAGCTTGCGCATGTGCGCACTTGACACTGTAAGTTCAGTTGATGTACCACCAAGTTGCAATACACATTTCAATCGTTTCGTTCAGTTTTATTCACCTATAATTTCCAAACAATCAATTCCACTGGATAAAGCAAAACCTTGCTACACATTCGGTATGTAGCTGAAAGCCAGACACGCCCGAAGCATTGGCAACAAAATAGGGCGTAGTCTGTTCATTCCCCTCTGCAGGAGGGCGGGATAAATACCATCAACTCCTGGAGATTTGTATGGGGAAAAGCTGTCCACTGCCCACTCCAGTCTTGCCTCCGTGACTACCTTTGCAGCCAGCGCCCAGTCCTTCGGGGAAGGTTGAGTACCGACTACATCCCTTTTGGAATGGGAGGTAGTCCGTGTGCTGCCTGGAAACATGGTCTGCAGCAAAAGTTCTGCGGACTCTTCTAAGGTGGCTGTAAAGGTGCCATCTTCTTTCTTTAGGAAACCTAGTTGATGTGTGTGGTCCTTCGAGAGAACTCTCTTCAGCCTTGCGGCCGAAGCAGTCGACGTTATGTCGCTGCAGAAGGATCTCCACGTTTCCCGTTTCCTCTTTCTTAATTCTTTCTTAAACTCTTTCCGGTGCTCTTTATAGGCTTCCCAGTCTTCAGTTTTCTTAGTGTTTTTTGCTCTATTGAAAAGTTTTCTTAGCCCCGATTGAAGTGGGCTGAGCCTTCGGTTCCACCATGGTGTACCTTTGCCCAGACCTTCCTTCTTTAGGGGGCAACTTTTCTCATACGCTGACATTAGAGAGTCGTTGATAATGGTCAAGGTTTTCTCTATGTCTTCTGTCGAACTGTATTCTGTTGGTATAGACTGCACGGAGGTCCCCAGTCTGTCGTCCAGTTCTTCGTTGTATAAAGCCCAGTTCGTCAGCCTAGGGTTCCTGTACGTCTTTATCTCCATGTCTATACATTTTGATGTATACATGATCCATCTATGGTCTGACACTGACGCCTCTTTAGAGACGTGCCATCCCATTATATATTGTGAGATATCCCATGTAGCCAGTGTAATATCTATTACTGACTGACTACGTGATGTTACGAAAGTTGGTTCGCAGCCTCGGTTGAGAATCTCTAGATTTGTTGATAAAAGATATTCAGCTAGTGTTCTTCCTCTATCATTAGTGTCTTTGCTCCCCCACAACAGACAGTGGGCATTCGCATCGGCACCGATGATGAGGTTTATATTTCCGGTATCACAGTGTTCCACCAAGTTCGCCATTTCCCATGTTGGACATGGTTCCTGTGCTCCCTGTGGTAAGTACACGGATGCTATTACCAGTTGCTCTTCGCCTCTTCCTATGTTACACTTAACATTTACCGCAGTCACATCCCTGGAGCTGACCTGAGGTAGGAGGACGGCTTTAATTTTCCTCGGAATGTAGACGCATGTCCTTGGAGATTCTATTGTGGTACCTGAAACAACAGTGCCATTTAAATTGCTCAACCCTGCGATCCTGGATTTTACAATCCATGGTTCTTGGATTATTGCTATAGTGTTCTGCATCTTGTCTAGACGACGACACAAAACAGTCGTCGCCATGCGACAATGCTGCAGGTTAATCTGAATGAAATTTATCTGCTGCAGCGCCATCTCTGCAACCAAAAATCCCATAATTGTCCTAGGAGACACGAGGCACATGTCTCAGGCGGGCCCGCCCCCACTGGTAGAGGCTTCATCCCCTGGGGTTTCTACCTCTTCCATAGGAGTCCGCCCTTCCTTAGCCGACGCCTCGTTCTCCTTGAGTTTCAGGTTGAAAGAGGACAGCATATAATTGATTCTGCCCTCTCTCTCCCTGATTATCTTGGCCTCCTCCATCCCAAGACCAAACACAAAGAGGTTGCCTGGAGAGGCAGCCTCGGGTTTGGCCTCGCGATGGAAAAGAAGCCATTTTTTGACGTTGGCCCATTGGTTCTGACCCTCCAGGCGGCGAAGTACGACTCCTGCGTCCACCGGTGGTCCCGGTATCCACAGGGTCGCCCTCACCAGCCTTGGTAGGTCAGCCAAGGGGACCACGTTAAGTTGTGCGCCCTCCCACAAGGGTGTTAGGGAGCGCACTGTTTGTTGTAGCCATTTCAGGGACAACTCGTCTTCACAGGTTATCCTTAGGATTTCCCCTGTGTACTTCATGCCTCTGAAAGTGGCTGCTTGTCTACCCGATGCCAAGCACTGGTCAAGTTGCTTGTCCAGCGCTCCCATCAGGCTCTTTTGTACTATCTCCACCTGGTCAGCAGTCAGCTTACCAAGTGGATGCTGCACATCAATCACAGCTACACGGAGATGACTTGCAGCCGCCTCCCTGTAGCTCTGTTCTCTAGAGGTAGTCTCCTGCCTCCTCATCCTCTTTTGCTTTTCAGCTGCCGGAGGTGTGGAGGTACCTAATGTCATTTTCAAAAATGTAAAACCTTCTCGGAGGCCCCAAATGTCTTTTTTAAAAATGTAAAACCTTCTCGCGGGTACCAACTGTCATTTTTTAAAATGTAAAACCTTCCCGCAGGCCCCAAATGTATTCTTTTAAGAATGTGAAACCTCCTCGGGGGTCCCAATTGTCTTTTTTAAAAACGACGAACCTTCTCCGGGGTGCCAAATGTTTTTCTTAGAATGTGAAATCTTGTCGGGGGTTCCAACTGCCCTTTTTAAAAATTTAAAACTTTCTCGGGGACCCCAAATGTCTTTTTTTTAATGTGCAACCTTCTCGAGGCTTCCAACTGCCTTTTTAAAAAATTTAAAACCTTCTCGGGGACCCCAAATGTCTTTTTTTAATGTGAAACCTTCTCGGGGGTCCTAATTATCTTTTTAAAAAATGTAAAACCTTCTCGGGGGTCCCAGCTGTCTTCTTAAAAAATGTAAAACCTTCTGGGGGTCCCTAAATATATATTTTTTTGATGTGAAACCTTCTCGGAGGCCCCAAATGTATTATTTTAAGAATGTGAAACCTCCTCGGGGGTCCCAATTGTCTTTTTTAAAAATGAAGAACCTTCTCCGGGGCGCCAAATGGTTTTTTAGAATGTGAAACCTGCTTGAGGGTCCCGAATGTGTTTTTTTTAATGTGAAACCTTCTCGTGGGTCCCAATTGTCTTTTTTAAAAATGTAAAACCTTCTCGGGGGTCCCAAATGTATTCTTTTAAGAATGTGAAACCTCCTCGGGGGTCTCAATTGTCTTTTTTAAAAATGAAGCACTTTTTCCAGAGCGCCAAATGTTTTTCTTAGAATGTGAAACCTTCTCGGGGGTCCCAACTGTCTTTTTTAAAAATGTAAAACCTTCTCGGGGACCCCAAATATACAGTATGTCCCCGGATTGAGTTCACAAGAGGAAAAAAACTGTATTTTCTATTTTACAAAAAAATTACATTGGAATAACATTTCTTGCTTAATTCAAAACGAATAAATCTGCAATTAAAACTTCAATATTCCTGGTCTGTACTCTTCAAATTAATTTTTCATATTTCTAAGTTCTTCGTTACTTTTAGTTTTTTTCGATTTTAAGGACACAGCCTGATAATATTAAAATTTTAATCGCAGATTTATTATTATACACTGTGTAATCACGAAAAAGTGAAATTCTACAATTTTTCAGAGAAGCAGTATTTGTTTAACTGTACTTCAGGGGCGAGGGAAGTTCTGTCGAAATAACCTTCGACCAAAAGCGGAAAAGTTGGGATATTTATATACTGTAACTAGCCTACTTAGTTCTTCCGAAAATCATAAAATTCGAGATTCCGTACTTGTGACAGTTCATTTTTCGCCGGAACGGCTCTAGAAAATTTGTCACCAAGTTGCCCTTTTCAGCTCAAGTCCCTAATAATCGCTGCTCTCGGCCACGACCTGGACCACGGCGGCTTCACCAACAACTTTTTACAATTAATAAACGACGACCTGGCCCAGCTGTACGACGAGTCGTTTCTGGAGAACCACCACTTCAGAGTAACCATGACAATCCTCAACGACTGCGAAATCTACAGCAACTTGTCCGAAAATACCTACAGGATGATAAACAAAGAAATAAAAGAGGCCATCTTGGCGACCGATCTAGCGCTGTATTTTAAATTTAGAGCGAAACTGGCTCAGATTTCGAACGAAGGTTTATTTGATTGGGGAAATTCGATGCATAGGACGTACGTTAAAGCTATTATGATGACAAGTTGTGACTTGTCGGGACAGTGCAAGCCCTTCTTTGTGGCGAAGCGGATTACCGATAATTTATACAGTAGAGGCGATTTTTAGGTAGGGTTCCAGTTAAGTGAGATTTTGTAGGGGAGTTCTACCACCAGGGCGACATGGAGAAGAAAATGGGACTGCATCCTTTGTCTATCATGGACAGGGAAAAGCAGCACACAATCCCTGAAGATCAAGTACAGTTTTTGAACATCGTGGTGATTCCGTGTGTGGATTTGCTGCGAGTGGTGTTACCGAACACTGAAGACTTGTATTTTGAAGCTTGGTAACAATGGACGTAGTTCACGTTTTTTTAAATAACTGGTTTGTTTGTAGTAACCTACGCGACGCGTGGCAGGACATAATCAACAAACGAGAAGAGAGAAAAATGATATAAATAAATTTATTTGAGTAAATACAACTGACATAATCTATACATAAAGCCTATATTTCACATTATATAGCATGGAATCAAACACTTCCATCTCGACTTGACTTATCGCTAAATTTTCTTTGAAAGTAGAGTAGGCTTCATTTCTTCTTAAAAAAACTACCAATCATAACATATACAATACATACATATTTTTGACGATTGAGAAAAAATAGTATAAAGTAGGTACTTAAATTTAATTTAAAGAGTGAAAATCGCAGCAGCAGTACACATAAACCAAAAAGGATGGAATTTAACGAAACTACTCATCCAAATGTATGGTTTACGTATTGCGGATTTTTCCGGGGACGTAATTTTTGTCGATGTGGGGCTCTTGCAAAAACATATGTAGACAGCGTTCATTTTGGGCTAGGGGATGTCCCGCTATCCTGAAAAAAATTCAAACATTTCATTGATCTGACACTAAAAACGCTCATGTTCCCCTCTTAGTCGAAAAAGAAACGTCAACCCGCTCCGACACGTGTTAACTCTAGCATGGGCACATTGTAAAACCATCCACGTGAGTAGCTTTAAAGTCATGCTTGGGTGAAATTTTACTCCGGCACCGTTATCACATCGACCTTTACTTTTAACTGTTTGCTTCAATGCAATCAGCTAGCTTGCTATCTCTTTCTACCGACTGTTCTTTGACCGGAACTGAATCAGTCTTTCTCAGTTCTGCCACACTGTTGCCGCTAGATTATTATTATTTTAACCAGATGTTAAATTTGTCGAATTTTATTGTTGAAATTGATTTTGCTAACCTCAAAAATTTAAAAAAACTGGCGCCCGAGCTTTCCGCGTACTTCTCTTTAGACGGAAGCAAATACAACCTAATTATGTAAACACAAGAAAAAAATCTGTTAATGTGAAAAACTAGTTTGAATTTTCCATTTTAACTTAATTTGGGCTTTGTAAACATATTTTTCAATTTAATATTTGCCACTCATATAACTTGTAAATTGACTTGCATAAAACTTTATTGTTTACCACCAATAAAGTAATTTTTATTATTATTACAATACTGCTGCGTAAAATTAAAAACCAAAAATGCAACTTTGCATCAAAATCATCATTTACTACAACTGTCATGCACATCTGCAAGTAATGTAATTTAATAACTGTGACCTTACAGGATCCTCTATAATCACGTATTTTTTAAATTTCCGTGAACGTATAGTAATAACCCACGTATTAAATAGCAAAACATACAACACACTCATCTACAAACATTCCACCTTGTAATAGCCAACTTATAGCCAACAATGACCTCAACCTCACTCTCAAAAATCCCTCACTCACTTGTTAATAAAAACTTCGAGTCCTTTCCTCCTCTCCTCGATGAAATCCTCTTCAAAAATCCCGTCGTCACCCCTAAACGGCAGCTGCCTCTTCCACGCCTTGCCCGGCAAGGGGGGCACCACAATTTTACTATCCCTCTCGAGCTCATTCCTGAGCCACTCGAAGTCGCTGTACCTCCGCCTGACGCTCGACTCTTTGACTTTGAATACGGGCAAGTTCGTCTGAAACGTGCATTTTGAGTGCTTGGTATTTGGGGGGCGGTTCTACTCACTCTCATCTTCACCTCATAGTCTGTAAAGCGCTTTTTGCCCACGCCGATGGTGGTGACGGGGTTGACCACGTCGATTTCCAGGAAATTGGCGGGGGCGGCGTAGGCATCGTCCAGGGTTTGCTTTTTTACGTTTAGACGTCGTGTAGCTTCTACCGTTGCATCTGATTCAGCCATCATGGTAAACGTTCGCGGAAATTACATAAACTTAACGAGAGGGTGGACTGGGGTTCGGGGGCGGATAGGCACGGAGATGGTTAGTGTATTATTGAGAATTTGGGGGGTTTTCTGGATTGATTAACGCTCGCACCGTTCACAACAAATCGCTGACAGAAACGTCAAATTTTTCAAAGGTGAAGGCCGGTAATGCAGGAAGCTGCGAGCGAACTTTGAACTTTAGACACGATCGGAGAATAAATGGGTCGGTGCACTTCTATTCGTAAGTGGGGTGAAGATTGAATGCATCGAAAAGCCTCACCAAGCCTCACTTTGTAGGTCTAGCACATGGTCTAGCACGTGATCTTCAGGTGGAAGAAAATGTGCTCTTTTTTATAAATTTGGCCGTGGGTTAAAACCGCGAATTTTGGGTTGTTTGTGGTTTTAACCCCCGCCATAAACCGATCTAAGCCCCACTTTGGATGTGGAAACCTAAAAATCAGTTTAATTTTGGCAACATGGCCACGAGTGGAACATGTCGTGGTTCCCTGCATTTTTCCTCTACAAAAATATTATATAATAATGCTGTAAACAATGAATATAAAAAGAATAGACAAAGTTATATACTTACATTTTTTGTCAATTCTCTGCAATGAAGTATAAAATTCCGAATTTCTAAACCTAGCACAGGTTCTAACAGAACACAGGTAACAAAGTGGTAAACAAAACAGTGAAGTTGTAGTGTTTTCTTTGGTGAAATGGGGGTAAAAAGGGAAAGGGAGAGGGGGTGTGAACAAGTTTTAAAATTTTGAAAATCCGCGCGGATCAGCCTTAACAGATGATATATTTTCATTGCGACTTTTGATGGTGTGGTTGGAAAACTATGCAATGAAATGATAAATTGGAGACTACCTGACTTCAGGACCTATAGTTGGCCACACCATCAGTCGATTTCGTGGCTAGGTCCTGCTAGTGAATCTGCACGTTACAATCAGAGATTTGCCCGATTTTTTTTTGAAATCTCAGAAAAAAGTTCTCAAGGGCTTACATTTTTTGCCCTTTTTTCTTATTAGGTGTAGTCTTCTTTTCACAACAAGAAAGGTAAAAATAGTATACAAACCTCGTCGTGAAGGTACATTCCCCACTCGGTATGTAATATGCTATTAAAATGGTAAATTTTTGTAGAAAAGTTGTTTGCAATTACGCTCCGCCCCTTGGTCTGACAACGAATGAAAACTTCATCACGATTGAGATCGAGACGGATGGGCGGGGCTTCTCTTTTGGTTTTCTTTTTTAATTAATACATTTAGTTTTCTAGAACATGATTACTTAAGAACATATTTCACATGGTAATTTCTCGTAGAAAAATAAGGATTTTACAATTAAGCTCCGCCCCTCGACTTATGACGAATAAAAAAAATCATCAGAGATAGGACGGGCGGGCGGGGGTTATATTTTGTCTTTGTTTCTTAATATACATATCCATCTTTTAACAACAAGAAACTTAAAACATGGTTAAAATGGTACATTTTTGCAAGGAAATATGGATTTTGCTGTTATGGGGCGGAGCCTAATTACAAAATGGATATTTCCTTATACAAATTTTTCATTTTAAATATATTTTAAGTTTCATGTTGTAAAAAGAAGTTTACACATATTACAACGAAAAGGCAAAATATATGCCCGCCCACCCGCCCTATCTCTATTCTGATGATTTCGTTATTCACCGTGAATCAAGGGGGCGGAGTTTAACTGCAAAATACTTCCTTCTTTACAAGAAATTAAAAACATGTTTTTGAGTATCGTGTTGTTCAAAGAATTTTATGCACATTAAGAAAAAAAAATATTAACCCCGCCCACCCACCCCATCTCAATTGTAATGATTTTTTTTTATTCTTAGAAACCTAAAATGCGTTTAAAATGGTAAATTTTTGTAAGGAAATATCGATTTTGCAATTAGGCTCCGCCCCTAGCTCTGCCAACAAATGAAAACTTTATTACTATTTAGATCAGGGTAGGTATGGGTGGAACATAATCTTTGGCTTTAATTTTTTCTTAACATACATAGTATTCTTTGAATAACACGATACTCACAAACATGTCTTACATGGTAATTTCTTCTAGAAAAATAATAAGGATTTTGCAATTAAATTCCGCTCCTTTGGCTCTCGAAGATTAAAAAAAAAATCATCACAATTGAGATAGGGCGGGTGGGCGGAGCTTATATTTTGCCTTATTTCTTAACATACGTAGTCGTCTTTTCAGAACAAGAAACTTAAAACATGTTTGAAATGGTAAATTCTCCTAGACAAATGTGGATCTTGTAATTAAGGCCCGCCTCTCAATCTGACAACGAATGAAAAATTCATCACAATTGAGAATTGAAATCAGGGTAGGTATGGGCGGGACCTAATTGTTGGCTTCATTTTTTTAAATATACGTAGTATTCTTTGAACAACATGATACTCAAAAACATGCTTTTAATTTTTCGTAGCGAAATAAGGATTTTGCAGTTAAGCTCCGCCTTCTTGGCTCACGACGAATAAAAAAATCATCACAATTGAGATAGGGCGGGTGGGCGGGGCTACATTTTGTCCTTTGTTCTTAATATATATAGACTTATTTCGACAATAAGAAACTTAAAACATGTCTAAAATGGTAAATTTTTGTAGTAATCAACTTATAAATCCTCCACTGTCTAAACGGATGGAAAGAAACGCTATTGTATAAAGAATTTTGAATCTGGAGCCATTGTTGAGTTTTTCAATTAAGCGAGAAAAATTAGTCTGAAATTTCCAAAAATTTTGCGGAAAATCTGTTAATCTAGATTCAATCGAACAAGAAATTTTGCTATTGTATGCAACTTTTTTTAAATTACATTACAAATTTTGAATTTGAAGTCATTGCTGTGAAAACATGTTTTGAATTTTCCAACATATGTATTTCCCGAAAATTCTTCAGAAGGCGTGTAATCACGCAAAAAGAAATGGATTTTTTTTGTGGAGGACAAATTTGAAACCACTGTTTGATAGGTCTTCAAATGAGTGAGAAAGAGAAGTTTGAAATTTCCAAAAATTTTCCGGAAAATCGGTTAATCTAAGTAGATTCAATCGAACGACAAACTTCGCTATTATATACAACTTTTTTTAAATTACTTTACAAATTTTGAATCTGAAGTCACTGCAGTGAAAACATATTTTGAATTTTCCAACATATGTATTTCCCGAAAATTATTTAGAAAGCGTGTAATCACGCAAAAAGAAATGTTTTTTTTTGTAGAGTACAAATCTGACGCCACTGTTTGATAGATCTTCAAATGAGTGAGAAAGAGAAGTTTGAAATTTCCAAAAATTTTCCGGAAAATCGGTTAATCTAAGTAGATTCAATCGAACAAGAAATTTCGCTATTGTATACAACTTTTTTTAAATTACTTTACAAATTTTGAATCTGAAGTCACTGCTGTGAAAACATATTTTGAATTTTCCAACATATGTATTTCCCGAAAATTATTTAGAAAGCGTGTAATTACGCAAAAAGAAATCTTTTTTTGTAGAGTACAAATCTGAAGCCACTCTTTGATAGATCTTCAAATGAGTGAGAAAGAGAAGTTTGAAATTTCCAAACATTTTCCGGAAAATCGGTTAATCTAAGTAGATTCAATCGAACGAGAAATTTCGCTATTGTATATAACTTTTTTTAAATTACTTTACAAATTTTGAATCTGAAGTCACTGCAGTGAAAACATATTTTGAATTTTCCAACATATGTATTTCCCGAAAATTATTTAGAAAGCGTGTAATCACGCAAAAAGAAATGTTTTTTTTTTTTGTAGAGTACAAATCTGAAGCCACTGTTTGATAGATCTTCAAATGAGTGAGAAAGAGAAGTTTGAAATTTCCAAAAATTTTCCGGAAAATCGGTTAATGTAAGTAGATTCAATCGAACGACAAACTTCGCTATTATATACAACTTTTTTTAAATTACTTTACAAATTTTGAATCTGAAGTCTCTGCTGTGAAAACATATTTTGAATTTTCCAACATACTCGTATGTATTTCCCGAAAATTCTTCAGAAAGCGTATAATCACGCAAAAAGAAATGGTTTTTTTGTAGAGTACAAATCTGAAGCCACTGTTTGATAGATCTTCAAATGAGTGAGAAAGAGAAGTTTGAAATTTCCAAAAATTTTCCGAAAAATCGCTTAAACTAAGTAGATTCAATCGAACTAGAAATTTCGCCATTGTATATAACTTTTTTTAAATTACATTACAAATTTTGAATCTGAAGTCACTGCTGTGAAAACATATTTTGAATTTTCCAACATATGTATTTCCCGAAAATTCTTCAGAAGGCGTGTAATCACGCAAAAAGAAATGGATTTTTTTTTTTTGGAGGACAAATCTGAAACCACTGTTTGATAGATTTCAAATGAGGGAGAAAAAGAAGTTTGAAATTTCCAAAAATTTTCCGGAAAATCTGATGAGTCCAATTAAGCGGAAAAATGCCTATAGTACGAGATTTTTTTCTAAATGAAGGATCTGAAATCACTATTGCAAATAAGCATGAAAAACCACTTGGAATTTTGCAAAATTTTCCGGAAAATTCTTGAATATGCATCTAATGGAAGAAACGTTGTCATGTAGAGCATTTTTTGTAAATTACAAATATGCAATTTCTCATCAAATAAATGGGAAACATTCGATAAGATGTTCTAAAAATCCGTTAAGTCAAAACCGTCAAAACTAAATAAGCCATTGCCAGAAAAAATCCGTAAAGTTTAATTTTGGAAAAACTCTTTGAACAAGCGAGAAAAACGTGTTTGGTTTAATCGGTCAACGTGCGTTAATATTGGACAGAGAATTCTCCATGAATCTGAATTCATCGTTGGGAAAGCTTCTCAAAAAAAAATTGATACCTTTCTGCGCATGCGCACTTGTGACGGATTGTTTGAATTGCACGGATCATAAATTGTTACTATAGCAACCAGTTGTTTAAAAACTGCCTTTGATCTGAAATTTTTTATCTTTAAGCTATTTGGCGCCTAAATCTGCAAACAAAACGACAAACAAAAATAAAAAAAAATTCTGCGACAACGAGTATCTTGTTACAAAATTCCTATCCGTCTTCTTGACGTTTGACAGTTGCGACAATGACGTTTCCGGACACTGGCATCAATTTGACATAAAGTTGACATTTAATCGTCAATAATACATCCAAGAACATAGTTTATAGTTTTTTTGATTAATTTTTTTGTAAATATAACGGCAACAATCTCAAAACTTGTCTCGTGTGTTTGTCCATACCTTAAAAAATAATCCGAAGGTAAGAAGTGCGTAATAGGTTAGGCGGCCCTGCCCATCTCAGATTGAGGTTAGATTTCAACTTTGTCATTATTTTTAGTGAATAATGTCATCGGGTCGCCCCATTAAGTGTGTAGTCGTAGGCGACGGCACCGTCGGAAAAACCTGCATGCTCATTTCCTACACGACAGATAGTTTTCCGGGCGAATACGTCCCCACAGTGTTAGTATCCAAAAAGCGACCCCCAACCCCGTGACAACGCAGTTTCTTTTTAGTTTCGATAACTATTCCGCCCCGATGGTAGTAGATGGAATCTCCGTCAGTTTGGGTCTGTGGGACACCGCCGGACAAGAAGACTACGACAGACTGAGACCGCTCTCGTATCCACAAACCGACGTATTCCTCATTTGCTTTAGTGTAGCGTCGCCATCCTCGTTCGAAAACGTGACTTCCAAGTGGTACCCAGAAATCAAACACCATTGTCCCGACGCACCCATGATATTGGTTGGTACAAAAATAGATTTAAGGGATGACCGCGAGACCTTAAACGCGCTGGCGGATCAGGGCTTGAGCCCCATCAAGCGCGAGCAGGGCCAGAAGCTGGCGAACAAAATAAGGGCCGTTAAGTATATGGAATGCTCGGCTTTGACGCAAAGGGGGCTCAAACAGGTTTTTGACGAAGCCGTTCGAGCCGTCTTGCGGCCCGAACCCCAAAAAAGACGACAACGCAAGTGTTTGCTTATGTAATTAGAGTTATTTTATTGTTTCTTATCAACGACTGAACGGACTTTTTCAATCTTTGCAAATAGTTCAGGGCATTTAAAGTCAATAAGGACTTACGTGTAAGGTGTTATACAGCCTGCTGGGTTTTCTTTTTTAAGGCTTTTTTTATCGTTTTATACAGATATACTCAAACAATCTCGGAGGCAGGATAAATGCATTTTTGAAATATTTTATTATTGATTTTTACATAAAGTATTGTGATTAGGATTTTGTTAACAAAAGTCAAAACTTCATTTTTTGCGAATCTTGGTGTTTCAAGATGCACAGAAGGATGCAAAGTGGTATTTTATGCCATAGCACAAACTACAAACGTTGGGTAATAAAATCAAATCAATTTTAATATAAATGTCTACAAAAATCATCAAAAATTTGATCATTTTGCATCCACAACAAACATTTTTAGGAAATCATCTCAATTGTCCAAAACCACTGCCCAATTAGTTTTTATCTATAATTACACCAAGTAGTGATTGCACTATTCTGAATCATAATGGATCTGGGTAAAACGTTTTCTTTGTGGGTAACAAAACCAAACTAAACTGTGCCATTTTACTCTTTTTTTAATGAAAAATACTCAATTCGTTGCAGCAAAGTCATCATGGAATCACAACTATTTACTTAAGCCACGTACTTTTTCTTTCAACTTGTTATATATTTGCGTTATTCAAGAATAACATTATCAGTTTTAAGAAAATGTTTTGTAAGTAGTTTCATGTTCAGTTATTATAAAGCTTTTTCATAATATGAAGAGCAGCTAAATTTCTAAGACTTAAAATTAACACGTATTTAATTTATCGTTTCTAACATCACATTTTGTATTTCATTAAAAGTGACTTGTTAAAAACCAAAGTAATGTAAGTTCTAGTCACCCTTTGATTATATTCTCAATGTTTAGTTGCATTAATTAGGTATAAATACATTTTGAAATAAAACGTAATTTAATATTAACGTATTTATATTGAAAAAATCGTATTTTCCTGATGCTATATGTTCAAAACTAGATGATCAAATATAATCGTTTTTACAAACTTAAAAAGCGTTTTACTTTTACGCGAAAGGACTTTGTGAACCAAAATAAAACAACTACTTTTGTTTGTACATAAATGTATAAAACAGTCAACAAATGTGTTGTAAAGTTTGCACCAATACAAATTCCCACTACTTAATGTTTACTCTTCACTAAAAAGGTTTGTAGTATGTTCTACATTTTTCATGAAATACCTTGGCAGTTCTTTGTTGTACTAAATCTTCTACTGAAAGTTCTACTTGCAACATTCTTAACTGAAAAATGATTTCGTCAAATCATAATTTACTCATCAACCTACCACTTTACTTTGGTTTGTTCAGATCTCAATGCTTTAGATAAGGAAATATCATCTGCATTGGTTTCTCGTTGCTCTTTCAAATTTTTCACTCTATCAGCAGTCACTGTAATACAGTTTTTTATTACTTTGGATCTTTTTTCATTTCCTTCGTCTATTTTCTTGTGTAAGTCTTTACAAGCTGATTCCCCATCAGGATGAAAAGAGTCTGTGGGTATTACAGTGTTTAATGTATTTATTATAAGGTCGTCTACTTTACGCATAGTCTTCAAGGCCTCCTAAAAGATTGCATGCACTTAGGGAAACGTACTACTTTAAGAATCTTCAGATTAACGCTATTAAAAAAACAACAACTTTTGATTAAGCCGCATCACGTTAACCCGTTTGACATAACCTAAAAATTCTATTTTCTTCAGTACTTACTTGAAATTCACTGAAATCTCCACACTCCATTATTGCAATAGACATATTGTAAAAATTCTTCTGTGTTAAAAATTACGTAATTAAAGTAAACACAAAGAAAATAGTATACTTTTTAAACCTCGGTATTCTCGGTTTTTGAGGTTACTTTTTGCGGTTGATAAAAACGGAATCTGCATTATGTCCAACAAGTTTTTTACTACTTAGGGGAGAGTGGCACACAAAATTTACATTCATGTGGTTTAACTTCGCAACCCTCGAGGGATAAAATAAAGCAAGCACGCCTTCAGCTGTAAACTCCCTGTATTTAATGATTTTTTCAGAAATTTTATGACAAATTACAACACTCAAAATATACACAATTACAACACTCTGTGTAAACCTAAAGTATCGTTTAAAAGCCTATTCCTTAGTGCCCAAAGGGCTGTAACCACATTATCGTGTTGATCCGCCTTTTTACCCAACCAAGCTGTAACATTCTGTAGTTTGTCTGCATCAGGAGCTGGAATGTTCTCTTGATTAGCACACATATTCTTCTCCCATTGCGAAATATGCTTATTATCGGACTGTAGACCCTCAATATATCTGTAAAGATGCAATTATCGCACCCTTTGATAATAACAATTAAAAAACTGTAACATACTTTATATACGCTTCTGAGTGTAAAACTCTTTGTGGCCTGGGAGGCACCGTAATAAACATCGGTTCCTGTTTTTGTGCAGCAGTCGTAGTAGTAGTTGCTGCAGACGTCGCTGAAGAAGTACAAAGTTATCAACTGCTCTGCTACATTTTTGTTGTGCAATTATTTCGTATGAATACTTGTGGTACTTGATGTTGACCACGCCTCTACATTACTAAACAACGCAACACGATTGGTCAACACTAAGTAACATCGTGTCACGTGAACATTTGATGAGGTGAGATGATTACCTGTGTTACTTATAGTCGAGTGAGATCCGGCAGTTGAATTAAAGGTGCTGCTAGCAGCTATTCCAATAAAAATGAATTTTTAAATTAAAATATTCTTCAATGTAATAAAAAGCATGCTACAAACTGCTAACTACCACCACCTATTGTAACTTAAATGAATAATGAATGATCGATAGAACTAAAAAATAAATAAATAAACTCACGAGGGTTAGGGGTAGCGGTGGGGGTCGGGCGTGAAACAGCCGCAGGTTTACTGGAAGGCTTGAAGTTCCTACCACATCAAAAATCAAAATGCATTACACTACTACATACACGTAAAATATCGATGAGTCGACAATGGTACCTCATCCGGGTAATCTAGTCATGCCGCTACGTCTCATAAACTCGATTTTAAGAAATGCCTCGCATTAAAACACACCGGAATCATGCATAAATAGAATTTGAAGCAGTTGTAAGCAAATTATACCAACACTGCGACTTGTTTTTTAACGCGATTGTTTGGACACAAGTCTGAATAAAAATAAGTAGCAACGGGAAATTTATCAAATAAATATAACTGGAAACATGTCAAACATGAACAACGAAATCTGAAAAGACCAACCTACACATTTACACTGTAACCCAAAATTAAGGGATAAAATGGACTCTGTGTTGACGGCTCAACAATAAACAGTTACAGATTGTGTCCCTTAATTTTGACAGTCACAAACATGCAGTGTCAAAAATTCCAACCAACCAGCTATTATTTCTGACGATGTTGAAACGCAAGGTTGTAAAACTGGCATGACACGGTTACCAACGAAGTTCCTATTTTAATAAAGTTTTGTTTATTTATCATAAAAATCAAGAATTTGAACAATAATCATCCACCAAAAATCAACGCAATCAATTTTAACTGGATGCGTATTTTTGGTGGCAAAACGGTAACTTTTCCCACGTACTTGCTGCGATCTCCTTGCGGCACGACTCTCCCTTTGCCCTTGTTTATGTGTAAATCCCTCACGTGGCGCACCAATCTCGCCAAATTAGGGAACGGTTGCACATTTTTCTTATTATTCCTCAAACAATTCTTCCACTGGCAATGCAACTCGGCGTCTGGATTAGTCTGAAAGTAACTCTGGACGTGCCCTTGAGATTCTTTATCCTTGACGCAATGCTCCAAACAGTCCTGCAGCTCCTCGAACTGATAGTCGCAGTTATCCCACAAACATTCGTACACCTATAGAAAGATTATCATTTCGCGTCGACAAACTTTTACGACGTACTGTATCTGGATTAGGCGGTGCCGGCGCCGGGCTTGCGCACTGTTCGTCCAATAGCATCGCTTTCGTTTCTTCGTTTAGTTTTGAAGCGCGTTCTTCCCATGCTTGTTTTTCGCTTGCAGGGAGAGAGCGCCACTCGTTGCCCACGATGCGGCTGATTTCGCCGAAGTTCGATTCGGGGTTGTTTTGGACGACTTGTTTGCGGACTTCCCGTGAGTACAGGATGTAGCCGGTGACCACTTTATTCTTGCTGGATTTCTGCAAAAATTGGGTAATAAAAGTGGCCCATTTTTGGTAAAATTCGCACCTTTTTGCTGGTCACTGGGGTGGCTAAAGTGGTTCCGGGGGCGGAAACTACGGCCGGGATGTCTCCAGAACCTACTGATGGCGGGCCACCGTCCAGCGAATCGTCCATAAGAATGTCCATGTCGTTCATTTTTGTTAATTGTGGCGAAGCCTCCTTTGCAAAATACATGGTTTGTCATATCAAAATATAAAAGTAGAGGGTTTTTACTCGAAGTTTACTTGATCGAGAAAAAAGTCGTATAAGAACCTTTGAAATTTAATGTTAAAAAAAAACCAACGCCATCCTTGTTTCTGTTAATCAGTTTGACATTTACGGTTAAATATAATGTCAAATAATTGAAATCTCAAGATCATTGTTATAAAATCAAAGTTCATGACTTACTAGAGGACTTTTTTTCTACTATACATTATGGATATTGTGTAGATAGACAACCACACTTTGTCTAATCACCCCCACCAACAGTTCGTGATAACCTCTATGCAGTAAAAACACAGGCCCCGCCCACCCACCCTCTGTTTTCTTAGAGAGTATATCATTTGCCAAAATCAGTCTTATCTTATCAAATACTAGCCCCACCCGCCCACCCTTTATTTTCTTAGAGGGTATATCATTTGCCAAAACAGTCTTATCTTATAAAATACTAGTCACAGACATTTTTTTTTGTTCCTTAATTTTTTCGATTTCCATTTTTTCTAGTTTTCACGTTTAAATTTTTCAACTTTTCAATTCAATTTCTAGATTTTGCAATTTTTCTTTCAGTTTTTTATTTTCTTTATGGTTACAATTTTTCAATGTTACGATTTTATAATTTTTTGTTTTTTCAATTTCAATTTTTTCAATTCTTTGGTTTGCAATTTTTCAAGTTTTTTTTTCTTTAATTTTGTATTTTACTCATATTTTGCCCATTTTTTCTTAATTAAGTCTTCTTTTCCCAACAAGAAACTGAAGAGATATTTAACTACCCTGTTATTGAAAGAAAAATTAAGCCCCACCCATTCGCCCCGATCTTAATTGTGACGAGTTTTTCATTCCTAATCAGACGAGGGGCGGAGTTTTCTCTAGAAAATTCTACCCTTCTAAAACATATTTCATATGGTAATTTCTTGGAGAGAAATGAGGATTTTGCAACTAAACTCCGCCCTTCAGCTCACGTTGAATAAAGCATTCATCACAATTGAGACGGGGTGGGTGGGCGGGGCTTATATTTTGTCCATTTTTTCTTAATATACGAATTCTTCTTTCCCCAATAGGAAAATGACAACATGTTTTAACTATCCGGTTGTTGAAAGAAAAATCTATGTATTAAAAAAAAAAAACAAAGATTAAGCCCCACCCACCCGCTCCGATCTCAATTGTGATCAGCTTTTCCTTCCTAGTCAGAGGAGGGGTGGAGTTTAATTGTAACTAGAGATGTACCGACTGTAGGTCTGGCCGACTAATCGACTAGCCGATTGTTCAGCCAGTAAAAGCCGACTAGTCGGCCGACTGTTCGGCTTTGCTAAAACCGGTTTATAAATGCGACAGACAGTATGTTTTTTTTTCTATTTCTCTGACTACCTTAAAAATTTGTTTTATTTTGTGGGTATTGTTGGTGATTTAAAAGCGACGGTACGGTTTTCAGATTTTATTTCGTTCTTTACTGTTCGAGAGTGCCAGGGAGAAGAAGGAAGGGTGTTTAAAATGGTACACAGGTAAGCTCGGTTTCGAAGAGGTGGAAGTAGGTAAAGAAGGAGTTTAGAAAATTCTAGCAGGGAAAAGAGAAAGTATGTAGGAGCGTAGGGCAGGTGGACGAAAGATAGGAAGTATTTACATTTATACAATTATTATGAATGCGCTCAGGTTGAACACCTGATTTTGTGGGAACTGTTGTTCCTACAATTTTAATAAAAGGAATAACTAAAGTTCCTTTGTTTTCCAAAAAATGTATTAAATTTGTTTCGGTAATTTTAACATTTAATTTTTTTAGTAACTCAGTACAAAAATAAAGAATAACACAATTTAGGGCCAGTTTATACAATATTTTAACTGCGATTAAGTTGATCGCGCATTTAACAAGGCCATTAGCGACGTCTGATTGGCGTAGAGTCGGTCACATGGTACTTTAAGGCGGGGTTAAAAATTAAATCGCAATTAAATATTCAATTGAGGTTCTGTAAACCTGGTTTAATTGTTTTATATACTATTTTAATGTTAATAAAAAAAGCCGACCGATCGGCTGTTTAGCCGACCAGTCGCCGACTGTAGCCGACGATGAAAAATGGCCGAATAGTCGGCTTATCCGACCGGTCGGCCACTAGTCGGTACATCCCTAATTGTAACATCAATATTTCTCTCAAAAATTCTACCCTTCTAAAAACATATGTATTTCATATGGTAATTTCTTCTAGAGAAATAAGGATTTTGCAACTAAACTCCGCCCTTCAGCTCACGATGAATAAAGCATTCATCAGAATTGAGACGGGGTGGGTGGGCGGGGCTTATATTTTGTTCATTTCTTCTTAATCTATACTCTTTTTTTCCAATAAGAAACTGACAACATGTTTAACTATTCTGTCGTTGAAAGAAACATCTACATATTAAAAAAAACAAAGCTTAAGCCCCACCCACGCGCCCCGATCTCAATTGTGATGAGTTTTTCTTTCCGAATCAGACCGAAGGGCGAAGTTTAATTGTAACATCAATATGTTTCTAAAAAATTCTACCCTTTTAAAAACATATTTCATATGGTGATTTCTTGTGGGGAAATGAGGATTTTGCAAACTAAACTCCGCCCTTCAGCTCATGATGAATAAAACATTCATCACTATTGAGAAGGGGTAGGTGGGCGGGGCTTATATTTTGTCCATTATTTCTTAATATACGAAATTTTGTTTTCCCAATAAGAAACTGACATGTTTTAACTATCCTGTTGTTGAAAGAAAAATCTATACATTAAAAAAAACAAAGATTAAGCCCCACCCACCCGCCCCGATCTCAATTGCGATGAATTTTTCATTCATAATCAGACCGAAGGGCGGAGTTTAATTGTAACATCAATATTTCTCTAAAAAATTCTACTCTTTTAAAAACATATTTCATTTGGTAATTTCTCGGAGAGAAATGAGGATTTTGCAAACTAAACTCCGCCCTTCAGCTCACGATGAATAAAGCATTGATTACAATTGAGAAGGGGTGGGTGGGCGGGGCTTATATTTTGTCCATTTTTTCTTAATATACGAAGTCTTCTTTTCCCAATAAGAAACTGACATGTTTTAACTATCCTGTTGTTGAAAGAAAAATCTATACATTAAAAAAAACAAAGATTAAGCCCCACCCACCCGCCCCGATCTCAACTGTGATGAGCTTTTCATTCCCAGTCAGACGAGGGGCGGAGTTTAATTGTAACATCAATATTTCTATAGAAAATTCTATCCTTCTAAAAACATGTATATTTCATATGGTAATTTCTTCTAGAGAAATAAGGATTTTGCAACTAAACTCCGCCCTTCAGCTAACGATGAATTGAGCTTTCATCACAATTGAGATGGGGTGGGTGGGCGGGGCTTATATTTTGTTCATTTTTTCGTAATCTATAAAGTCTTCTTTTCGCAATAAGAAACTGACATGTTTTAACTATCCGGTTGTTGAAACAAAAATCTATATATTAAAAAAAAAACAAAGATTAAGCCCCACCCACCCGCCCCGATCTCAATTGTGATAAGCTTTTCATGCCCAGTCAGACGAGGGGCGGAGTTTAATTGTAACATCAATGTGTTTCTAAAAAATTCTACCCTTTTAAAAACATATTTCATATGGTGATTTCTTGGAGAGAAATGAGGATTTTGCAACTAAACTACGCCCTTCAGCTCACGATGAATAAAACATTCATCACAATTGAAACGGGGTGGGTGGGGGGGCTTATATTTTGTTCATTTCTTCTTAATCTATAAAGTCCTCTTTTCCCAATAAGAAACTGACATGTTTTAACTATCCTGTTGTTGAAAGAAAAATCTATACATTAAAAAAAAAACAAAGATTAAGCCCCACCCACCCGCCCCGATCTCAATTGTGATAAGCTTTTCATTCCTAGTCAGACGAGGGGCGGAGTTTAATTGTAATATCAATATTTCTCTAGAAAATTCTACCCTTCTAAGAACATATGTATTTCATATGGTAATTTCTTCTAGAGAAATAAGGATTTTGCAAACTAAACTCCGCCCTTCAGTTCACGATGAACAATGCATTCATTACAATCGAGAAGGGGTGGGTGGGCGGGGCTTATATTTTGTCCACTTTTTTTCTTACTATACGAAGTCTTCTTTTCCCAATAAGAAACTGACAATATGTGTAACTATCCTGTTGTTGAAAGAAAACTGGTATATTAAAAAGAAAAAAAAAAAAGAAAAATGAAGCCCCACCCACCCGCCCCGATCTCAACTGCGATGAATTTTTCATTCGTTGTTGGACCGAAGGGCGGAGTTTAATTGTAACATCAATATTTCTCAAAAAAATTGTATCCTTTTAAAAACATATTTCATATGGTAATTTCTTGTAGAGCAATGAAGATCTTGCAAACTAAACTCCGCCCTTCAGCTCACGATGAATAAAGCATTGATTACAATTGAGAAGGGGTGGGTGGGCGGGGCTTATATTTTGTCCACTTTTTTCTTAATATACGAAGTCTTCTTTTCCCCACAAGAAACTGAACATGTTTAACTTTCCTGCTGTTGAAAGAAAACTGCATATATTAAAAAAATATATCGTTATTATACTGTGCAATTATTTTTGCGAAAATCTGAACTTTAAGGGAAAAAACTGAAAGCGGATTCGTATGCTGTACGTATGTATGCGTAGGAGTATATTTTTGTATAACATTCAATTCATTTTAATACAGTTCATTGAGATGACGTCATCAAATTGTTAGTGGGGAAGCGTCAATTTATCCAGATTTTGGTAAGATGGCGCCACCAATTCATAAATAAATTTTAATTCGGATTCTTTATGACTCTATTATATTATTTCCCTCAAATTATGACGCTCAGTGCGTAAATAAAAATGCATTTGACATTGACATAAACAAGTCTTAATTTTGTTTTACATACCACTTCCATGTGAATCGGGGTGTTTTGGGATTTGACGAGATCCGCTTGCACTTGGGTCATCTCTACAGTGGCCTAGAATATTTTTTCAAAAAGAATTTTCAAAAGGAAATTTTTTGTCGAAAAATAAATTATAAATATTAATATTTAAAGAGCACGCACCTTTAGAGGGTTGATTAGTTTTGGGAAATAGTAAATCTCATCCTCCGTCACCAAATTGCTGTGGAAAAACTTTTTAATCCCTTCAGCGGGTAACTTCCGAATTTGCCTATTCATCTCATCATACATCGAATTACAAATAAAAACATCACTTTCGGTGATTTCCGTCGGGCGACCTGAAACGACTCCATTAAGAAAGTTTAACCTTTAACATTCACCTTACATGATATGTAATCGTTAAATTCCAAAACGGAGCACCTCCCCATGATGCTTACAAGCGGATTCGTATCCTCCATAGAGGACAGAAAAACTTCTTGTTTATAGAACAATTTGTTTGGCGAATGAGGAATTTCATTAGGGGTTACAAACCAAGGTCCACGGAAATAGCATTTACCACTACAATCACAACTATAACAACAACAACAACAACAACAAAAACAAACACAACGTACTCTTTCGTATCCCAAATACTGTCAATTTGCGCAATCATTTGCCGCCCGCCATCCGCCGCAACATACACGAAATCGCCGGTTTTGACAACACCGCTGCAAATCGTGTTATACTGTTCATAGTAAGTGTTCCCATCCTCGATTTCCACGTTAGTATAAACAACGACATTCTAAAATAATTCGTTACAAAAAAATTACAACGAAAATTGAAAAATTACAGGTTTATCTTTCTCCACAAGTTTCTCCTGTTCTTGTAACTCAGCCAACTCATCTTTATGCTTTTCAATGCGTTCTCTGAACACCGAAACCACCCTTTTAGGTTCCAGCGGAACATCTCTAGGCACCAACTTCAAAGTCGGGTTTTCGGGGAAAATTTTAATTTTTTTGAAACTTCTACTTCTTGTGCTGTAGCGCGATTCACATACGTAGACGTCTCTTTCATCATATCCTTCAGGTTTCATCGTAAAATATTGCTTGATATTAAGAACACAGCACCTCTCCTTCACCTCCTCCAAAGGCACCGCTATATGTGTATCAGACTTAAACACTTCCTTCTCCAAGAATTTTCTTGTAGTTAAGTGATAAGTTTCCGCCGGTCGTAAATAATAGTTCCCGTAAAGCATCTGCTGCCCATTATTCGTCCACAACCTCTCAATCAAAAGAACGTGGGGGTCGCAACCCTTCTCCTTCGAATCTAAATAAACAAACTCCCCGACTTTGTACGTCTGTTGGTTGCAAGTCATCGAATCGCCGACGTTGATGTTCGTTTCTTTGATTATAGAGTCGTCGGAGCTGCGAGTCTCCGTTTCTTCTTCCAGCGACTCCTCCAGGAGTTTACTCTGTCGTAGAGACTCGACCGCTGTGGTTAAATCCATGAGAGTATAGTTTAAAGCAGGCGATTGTAAAAGTTCGCCACTTTTACACAGTTCGTCTCTTTGCTTGATAAAATAAGACTGCAATTCGATCGAGTCCTCAAAAACTTGAGAATCGGAACGCGACAAACGCCGAGCGCGGTCTAAACAGGCGAAAATGTCGTCCTGGAAAGTATCTAGACGTTTGTAGAGGCCGCGGTCTAAACGTCTTTTGATTAAGTCGAGGGACACGGCTCGAACTCTAAAATTTTCGACGATTGATCAAAATATTTAATCAAGCTTTCTGACCTGGACTTACTTTTTACCGTCGATTTCGTCATGTTCTGGTAAATCGGCTAGAGAGTCGGTGTAGCAGCGTTCTTCAGAATCTTGATGATTATACACCGTGGTAAACAAATTCAAGAGAATATCCTGAATAGCGGCTGATACATCAGGAACCGTGTCATCGTCTTCCTTCAGCTGAAGTTTAGTTTGTAAACACACGGTTTGTAAAACTAACGCGTCTTTATAAATCTGGGAATCGGGTTCGTTGTATTTGCACGCATTGTCGAACATTAATATAAAATCTGTAACTAAATCCTCTAACGTCTCGTACCCGTTATTTTTGACTTTTTGGGAAATTTTTTCCATGTCAATTGGGTTTTTTATGACTTCGTAGTAATCCGGATAGTCCTAAAAAAAATCGTCACTTTTAAGTTGTACCGAGTTTGACGTTGTTACAATTTTCGACGGCAGTTTCATGAAGATTAGAGACAGCTGCCTGTTGGCTTTAGGTTCTCTGTAGTCTCGAATCGCGTCGTACAGCGTTTTTAGATTTTTTTCCAGAGGTGAAAGAACTTTTCTTGGTTTGACCCTACAATAACTGCAATGAACACACAAGTGGTACCAAAATCAAACACGTACACTCTCACTACGGTTTTTTCTTTTTTTTCGGGAGTCACGTTTTGTCCGACTTTATCAATGAGGTACTTTTCTAAAACGAGCGAATCCTCATAAATCGGTGAATTTTCTTCATTGAACTGGCGGCAGTTGGAAAACATGAGTTTAAAATCTTTAACTAAGTCATTCTCTGAACTGTACTGATCCGCACGAATTTTAGACTCTATTTCTAGAAAATCTATAGGCTCTTGTATCACCTCGTAGTACTCAGAGTAGAGTTTCTTTGACGGTTTTTCCATGAAACCTAACATAGGTTTTCTGCCGTCTTCGCACTGAAAAGGAAACTGGTAAATTCAGAAGAAATATATATTGGGGGGATCTAACAGCATAATCTAGCATGTATTTTGCCAAAGCATGCAACCGTTTTTTTAAAGGAATGGGATCTTTAGGTGGTCGACCTCTTTGAGGAGTATTCCCAGATAACTGAGTATTTTTTGGTTTTGGCCCAGGTTTTTTTCGCACAACAACTTCAGAGTCTACTTCACTGTCTGTATCCTGAAGAGTAAAAATATACATTTATTAATAAACAATCAAAGAAATCACAAGTGTCGTGTTGTTATTCAGAAAGGAAAAATTTAAGCTGAACGATGTTAGCATAAAGCGCGCTACACCTATGAATGATTCTCGATCGTTTGTTAATGGTGATTAAATGTGGAGACATAAGCAGTGCAGTAGCATACCTTTCGGTTTTTGTTAGTGACTCTGTATGTTACCTGATCTATGTCAAGTAGCTCTTGCACTTTCATTTGCATGACCTTTTGTAACTTCACTGCATCCTGAAACAACCGAATAGTACACTTACAAAAAAAAAAAAAATAATAATCGGGACTCACTTTGTATAATCGTGAACTAGGCTGGTTGTACTTTTTCGCATTTTCGAACATTACAGTCATATCACCTGCAACTTCGCTTATCGTACCGTAAGCGTGATTGGTCAGTTTACGCTTAATTTGAGTCAGAGATACCGGATTTTTAATCTCGCGGTAATAATCAGGGTAGAATCGCTTTGAGGGTAGCTTCCAAAATGGCTCACTTAATGACACACCGTTATTGCTCGTAACGGAACGTACGGCCTCAAATAATTGCCACTGAGGGTTTTCAGCATCTACAGGATCAGCAATTGACTACAAACACACATTTTACCACACACAACGACGTTGTAACAAAATTACTTCATCATCCATCTGCTCTTCCGGTTCTGCGTCTCCGTCTGACTCATCGTCTCTCAAGGCCGCAGTAACAGCAGACAGAGCCGTGCTCCCTCTTAGCCGTTTATTCCGAATCCGCTCACTCCCTTTCCCTAAATTAATTTTTACATGCTCTAACTCGCCTTTTTTGGTTTGAATCACCTACAAGCAACATTTACACACCAATATCAACCACAAAACATACTCAACTTTTTTTAAAGCTTTCGCATTTTTGTAAATCTGCGACCCTGGTTCATTAAACAAACACGCATTCTTTGTCATTAATAAGAGGTCTTTTTCTAGCTCAAGCAAGCCACCGTAATCGTTGTTTTGTATTTTAGTGGCGATCATTTTCAAGTCAATGGGACTCTCAATTACGTCGTAATACTCAGGATATTTTTTCTTTGATGGTACCAACTGAAACGAGGTGTGCAGAGGTCGATTTTCGTTGTCTGTGGCAGTCATGATTGCCGTGAACATTTCTTCGTACATATTTACATCTTCATCAAAATTGGAACTTTCTGAGGTGTCCTCTGAATGTTCCAGTTCCTGTTTTATTTCAACAGGAGTTCCCGCCTTCTTGCTTGGTCTACCCACCTTCAAGACGATTTTTCCTTTTGCTTCGGCCTCCTCGTCTTTCGTGTTGAGTATTCTGTTATAACGGTGTTAACTTACAAAATAATAACACTAAAACGCACTTACTTGTGTTTATTTGTTAGAAACAGCTCCCACAAATCTATCGCATCTTTGTACTCTTGCGAGTTTTTTTTGTAAAACGCTTTAGTGTTGTTAATGATTAGCTCAATGTCGTTTTGTAGGTCTTCAATATCTTCATATTCTTCAGTTTTTAGTTTTTGTTGGACTTTCAACAAGTCAATTGGGTTTGTGACCACTTCATAGTACCCTGGTTCTTGGCGACGCTTTGGTACTCTAATAAATGAGTCACAAAGGAGGGTTCCGTCGTCTTTTTTGTGGGTGCGGATTGAATCGTATAGTTGGTGGCACAGTTCCAGCTGGAATCGTAACGTAATAATGTGATTGAAAAAAACACGAGGTGCATTTTTACAGGGTCCATTTTTTTGAAACGTTTTCTGGAAGGCCCTCCACTTGTGGACGCTTCTATACTGTCTAAAGAGTCATCCTCTTGGCCTCTGCTGGCGATGGAACTTGTTCGTCTTCGTTTACTCATGGTGGAATGCTGTAAGAAGTAGGGTGCAGGGAAAATAGCGTTTTAATGGTTCAAAATTTGGTTTTATTTTATTCCTTGATACTATGATTACAAAGCAGCATAGAAAACAACATCTTAAAAGTATTTTCGTTGATTTGATTACACCGTACATGACCAGAAATAGATATTTGAGACAGAACATAAAAAAATATTTAAAAATGAATTTTATAAAAATAACTGGGTATTTAATTTTTTTCGGTTGGTATTATCATTGATTTTTAAATTAAAAATCAAGGCACCCAGATTAAAAATAATTCAAAATTAACGCAATTAACGTCAAATATTTATTAGGTATTTCCTATTAAAAAAAAATATATGTACAATGGTCACACTCGTAGTTCTTTCTCATTCAAAGTGCTGATGAGAAGTAATAAATGGTTTAGTGCCCCAAAAATCAAGTAGGTATTAACCAGTGGTGCCATCCGCCAGTAAAGAAATCTAGCTTAGTGACACTTCTGGGGGCTAATAATTCAAAAGTGGCTATTTTCGACCACCCATTAGTTTTTCAAAAGGGGCGAAATGGGGCCACAAACCAATTCATGAACGAATCTCTAAAATTCCTTGGGACTTGCTTCGGACCAAACTTTTCAATGCAATGTACTGCCTGAAACGCTTAACCCACCACTTTCGAATTAGTTACAGCCCCCAACTACTTCTTTTCTGTCTTTTGGTGTCTTTCATCACACAAACTGTGCTTTTTTGGCTAAAACATTTCCCACTAACCTGTTCAAACAGCTCCTCGAAATTTACTTTTCACGGCATAAGAAACGGCAACGAGAATCACCAAACTTTACACATGTTTCACTTATCGTTCTAGCGGTGCAGTTAATCAATAAACAAACACCGGCATCAAGTCCACAAACAAAATGGCTGTACGATTTGACACTTTGCGTCATATTGGGTTTGACAGCTTTGACCGTATTGGTTGATTTATTTGAAAGTCGTTGTTGATTGGCGGAGAGTGAAGGTCGTCAGGAGGGTGTCGTTAGGTGGTGCAGGTTGTGAGGTTAGGCAATGCAGGGATAAAAGTTACGAATAAACCTTTTTTATTTATTTATTTTTTAACAAATCGTGGTTATTAATAAATTAATTACTCAGTTTAAACGTTTACTTTTTATTATTTTTACACAAGTGACATCGGTGAGTTGGAATGTTCGTAATAACACCTGTTTTTATTTATTTAATTTTCCAGTACTTAAACTCAAATATGTATATTGTTCCCGTATTTTACGTACTGTTAATCTCAATTAATTTTTCTGCGTCGTTGAAAACGGTGCATGATGATGATTTAATGAATTTGATCCGAAGTGAAACCTATGTTATTACTTTGTTCTGTGAGTAGGTGTATGTTTTGTGTAACAATCAAACAACATTTCTTTTTAGCTAGTAAGAATTGTGCTGAATGTGATAATTTTGAAAATGCTGTAACTAGTTTGGAAGAAGAGTTTACAAAGTCGTTCAATGGAAAAGCTGTTAAAGTAATCAATAGTCAGTTAACGCGGCTCTACAGCCCCACAAAGGAGCCACTTTTGGTGTTTTTCCGACACGGAATACCGCTTCTCTATAATGGTAAAACAAACCTGCCTATGCATAATTTATTAATCACGTAAATATTATCACTAGATGTTCCATCTGAAGAGCTAATACTTCATACATTCCTGAATAACAAAGAACCAGTTGTTAAAGAACTGAATGATGAGACTTTTGAGCATTTAACTCAGGCAGCTACTGGTGCCACCACTGGTGATTGGTTTGTTATGTTGTAAGTGTGTTTAATTCATGTAGTCAGTATTATTTCACTTTTGTTTTAAGTTATTCCCCAGACTGTGTTGATTGTCAACGTCTGCAGGCACGCTGGGAAACTGTAGGTGCGCAAGTAAAAAGCCGAATGAATTTAGCTAGAGTTAACAAGGCTGTAGGGGGCGCTGCAACAGCAGACAGATTTGGAATCACTGAAGTCCCCTCTTTCATCTTGTATGTACTTTTATTAGTAGACTTTAAGTATAGAACGTTTTTACAGATTCAAATTGGGAAAGTTGTACAGGTATCAAATCAAAAAGTATGATATTGCCTCATTTGTGTCATTTGCGCAAGAGTGGTACAAAAACATGAAGCCAGAAAGAATACCCCTGCCTAAAACTCCATTGTATGTGATTCTATATTTTATATATTATACACTATGATTGATTTTTTTAGTGATGAACTGGTGGACAATGTGGTAATAAATCTTCAAGAAAACATTCTGCTGGTGCAGATTACCGCAGCAATGTTTGCTGCCACTTTGGCCATTTATGTCCTCTTGAAATTCATGAAAAGGACACCTCAGAAACCAAAATCCACTAAGAAAGGAGATAAAGATAAATGAAGAGCACTCTGCGTTTCTTACAGATTTATATTTTTGTAACAATGTGCAATAAAATGCTTGTAATTTACGTTGTTCCATGAAAAAATCTGCAATAACTAAAATATTTATTTATATTATTCAAACAATATCTACAACAAAGATCAGTTTCAGTCACATTTTTGTCAATGTAAACAATCTCAATGTGGTGTTGGGACGTGTCCATCAACATAAAAGTTTCTAGTTGCTTGTGGCAATTCAATTTCTAGCCCTTCCATATCTTTTGTTAAGACAATTTGGCACCCAAGTCTAGAACATTCTTTTAAAAAAGGGGCCATATCTAATAAATCTTCCTCTTCAGGTTCAGCTGTTGGGAGTTCATGGTTACTTTTTATGTATACATGACACGTTGTACAAGCTAAGGACGCTTCACAGGCACCTTCCATTGGAATATCATACCTCTGTGCTAAGCGTAGCACATTATCGCCTACTTTTCCTTTAATAGGGACTTTTTTTCCATCTTTAGTAATATAAGTAATGTTGACTCTAAAACAATAATTTTCAAGCCTTTTCCAACTAATAAGTATTTCACAACTCACACTTCATCCGGAGACTTTGGATCTTGCATTTCGTATTCACCGTGTCTCAGTTCTATTCAAAAACATAACCTAACATTCTAATAAAAATACAGACTTGCGGTTCATACTTACTACATGTTGAGTGGATACTTCGTATATAATTTTTTCGTGCTGCGGCTATAAAATTGTCCCTTCTCACATAACCTAAAACGCGCGATAAAGCAATCATTTTGACGTGAATTTGACATCTTATTCCTGCCAGTTTCGGAACCTTGCACAATTCATTTTCCCCAAATCCGCACAGAAATAGTAAAAAATGAAAAAACTCGATTGGTTGTCTGATTTCTCCCAACCAATCACAAGACGTGTCGGTGTTTTCTATCCCTTTTTAATCGGTTTCTTTTTTTTTTTATTTACTAGGGATTTTCGTGTTTGACGAAATTTCATTTGACAGTGGTGCAAATCACGGCGAAGGATTAATTCCGAATGCCACAATTTTCATTTTCGTGTGAAAATTATCAGAATTCAGGTGCCTATAACTGATCTTAGGTAGTCGAAAAATAATCAAATGGTGTTCAGTTTGAGTGGCCGCAGTGTATGAAACGGATATCGTTTGACATTGAAAAAGGTAACTTCATTCCGTCCATTTCCCGTAGTTACTTGATACCTGTTCATTATGTTCCATTGCATTGCTGTCCTGGCTAGGTTATATGAAATCTTGGGTGATTTGCGCATTTTTACTCGTTTCGACAGTTTGATTTATGCGTGTAATAGCCGTAAATGTGTGTTATGTTAACGTAATCAATATCTTTCACGGTAAAAATCAATAATTTTGCATTTGTTGACTCACCAGCGAAATAACCTTAACGAGCAAATTTTATAATTGTGTAGATGTCGGGCTCTACTCACAAGCACCGCTACAAAAACGCGGCCTTAGATAGCGTGGAACTGCGGAGACGACGAGAGGAGGAAGGTGTGCAACTACGGAAGCAGAAGAGGGAACAGCAGCTGAACAAGCGGCGGAATGTTAACGTCAATCAGTTGCTGCCTGAAGACAATGACCAACTACAGGTACGCGTTTTAACCACGAGGTCGAAGTCTGTATGTTGATTTCCAGCTGGAAAGTGACATTTTGTCACCCATGTCCCCAGTTATCACTCCAGAGATGGTGCAGGCACTATATAGTCCCGACGTAGAACAGCAGATTAACGCCACACAGAAATTTAGGAAATTGTTAAGCCAAGAACCCAATCCTCCTATTGATGAAGTGGTTCAAACTGGGATTATTCCGCGTTTTGTAGAGTTCTTAAAAAATTCAAGTAATTGTAGCTTGCAGGTATTTATTTGACTATAATGTGGTGGCACGCGAGACTTCTTTTTGTTTTGTTTCATAGTTTGAAGCAGCTTGGGCTTTAACTAATGTCGCGTCAGGAACCTCCCAACAAACACGGATGGTTATAGAAGCTGGAGCAGTCCCTATTTTTATTATGTTGTTAAGTAGCCAGTATGAAGATGTTCAGGTGTGTAATTTTAATTAAGTATGTATGAGGGTGTTGAAGTGAAATTTGTTTTAGGAACAAGCTGTTTGGGCTTTAGGTAATATTGCAGGTGATTCACCAGAGTGCAGGGATCATGTTTTAGATTCAGGAATTTTGGTCCCACTTCTCCAGTAAGTGTTAAGTTTTTTTTGCCTAGAGTATATCTAGTTGAATTTTTAACTGTTTAAAAAGTGAGGTTAGAAGCAACCATGAGCGGTGGTAAAATCATAGATTAATATAGATGTGACATACAGGCTGACTTTGCAAAAGCACCCTTATTGACATTGGAGTCCTCAACCGCCAAAAGCAAGCGCCAAATTTAAATAGTCGATGCCAATAAAAAAACTTGATTCACTACGACTCGTCACCTGTGAACTTGTTTGATTTACAGACCAGAGCGCGCTCAGGCCAATGTCGACTCTTAAGCGTTCAGAAGCGATTTGGTTGATTTAGAGTATAATTTCTGCGGGAAATAGTTGTTTGGTCGGTTTTTATAACGACTAAGTGAATATTTTTGGTACATATTTAGATGATTTTACATATTTTGTTTAACTAAGAATTAATTTTTTATTTGTATTTTATACGAGCAAAACGTCTTAAGAATATTGTTGAAATCGTAATAACCCAATGGATTTTTTTCGGGAAAATGTTTTGGAAACACTGTTCTATTTTGTATGAATTTTTAAATGTTTTTAGTGACAATTTTTGTGGTTGTTTTCGATACACTGTATGATATTAACAGTGAGAAAAAAATATGAAAAATTAAAATCGAAAATTCGAAGAATCGAGAAATCTAATACTCGAAAAATCGAAACCCTAAAAAATCGTAAAACCGAAACATTGAAAAATCGAAAAATGAAACATCAGAAAATCAAAAAAATGTAAAATTCAAAAATCAAAAATTTAAAAACCGAATAACGAAAAATCGAGAAATTGAAACTCCCAAATTTAAAAAATAGGATAACTGAAAAATCGAAACATCGAAAAATCGAAAGATCAAGAAATCGTGAAGTAGGAAAATCGAACAATTGAGAAACCGAAATAGGCCAAAATAAAAAATTGAAAAACTGATAAATCGCAAACCTGAACAATCAAATCTCGATAAATCGGGAATGAAAAATTAACAAATTGAAAAATTGAAAAACAGTACATCTAAAATGAGGAAGTCGAAAAATAGAAAGATTAAGAAATATTGAAAAATTAAAATATCAAAAGATTGAAAAATCTAAAATTTAAAAATCCAAAAATTGAAAAATCGAAAAAGTAAAATAATCAACACATCGAAAAATCCAGAAGTCAAAAATAGAAAAGCCTCAAAATTGAAATATTGAAAAATCCTAAAACTGAAAAATCGAAAAATTCAAAAATCAAAAACCTGAAAAATCAAAAAATTCAAGAATTGAAGAACAGGAAAGTCGAAACACTCGAAGGTCAAGAAATGGGAAAATCAAAACATCGATTAATTGAAAAATCGAAAAATTGAGAGTTTATAAAAGTCAAATTTGGAAAATTAGAAAATCGAAAAATAAATAGATTAAGAATTGGAAACATTTGAAAAATTCGAAAACTTGGAAAAATTGAAATATCGAAGAACTGAAACGAAAAATCGAGAACTCGAAAAATATAAAATTTTAAAAATTAAAAAATCTAACATTTAAAAATCCAAAAATTGAAATATCGAAAAAGTAAAAAGGTAGACACATCGAAATAATCCAGAAGTCAAAAATAGAAAAGCCGAAGAATTGAAAAATCCTAAAACTGAAATATCTAAAAACTGAAAAATCGAAAAATTGAAGAACAGGAAAATCGAAACACTCGAAGATCAAGAAATGGGAAAATCAAAACATCGATTAATTGAAAAATCGAAAAATTGAGACTTTCTAAAAGTCAAATTTGAGAAATTAGAAAATCGAAAATTTGACAATATGAAAATTGAAAAACAGAAAATCTAAAACCGGGAAGTCGAAAAATCAAAAGATTAAGAAATCGAAACATTTGGAAAATTCGAAAACTTGGAAAAATTGAAATATCGAAGAACTGAAACGAAAAATCGAAAAATCTGAAATTTTAAAAATTAAAAAATCTGAAATTTAAAAATCTAAAAATTGAAAAATCGAAAAATCCAGAAGTCAAAAATAGAAAAGCCGAAGAATTGAAAAATCCTAAAACTGAAATATCTAAAAACTGAAAAATCGAAAAATCAAAAAAGTGAAGTCGAAAAATAGAAGCCTTAAAAATCGAAAAATTGAAAAATCAAAAAATTAAAGAATTGAAGAACAGGAAAATCGAAACACTCGAAGGTCAAGAAATGGGAAAATCAAAACTTCCAATTAATTGAAAAATCGAAAAATTGAGAGTTTATAAAAGTCAAGCTTGAAAAATTAGAAAATCGAAAATTTGACAATATGAAAATTGAAAAACAGAAAATCTAAAACCGGTAAGTCGAAAAATCAAAAGATTAAGAAATCTAAACATTTGGAAAATTCGAAAACTTGGACAAATTGAAATATCGAAGAACTGAAACGAAAAATCGAGAAATCGAAAAATCTAAAAATTAAAAAATCTAAAATGTAAATAACGAAAAATTGAAAAATCGAAAAAGTAAAAAAATCGGGACATCGAAAAATTCAGGAGTCAAAAATCGAAAAGTCGAAGGATCGAAATATTGAAAAATCCCAAAACTGAAATATCCAAAAACTGAGAACCTAAAACGTCGAAAAATTGAGCAATCAAAAATCCAAAAAGTAAAGTCGAAAAATCGAAAAATTAAAGAACTGAAGAACAGGAATATCGAAACCCTCGAAAGTCAAGAAATGGGAAAATCAAAACCTCGATTAATAGAAAAATCGAAAATTTGAAAAAACGACAGTTGAAAAACAGAAAATCCAAAACCGGGAAGTCGAAAAATCGATAGATTAAGAAATCAAAACATTAGTTGCAATTTGACAAATGTTAGTTGTGCGAACATCGCGCTAGGTATCAAAAAACCTGAAAAATCAATTAATTGAAAAATCGACAAATACAAAATTTATAAAAGTCAAAAATTGGAAAATCGAAATATTTAAAAATCGTAAAATTGAAGAGAAAAACTGAAAACTGAGAAATTGAAAAATTGAGAAATTGTAAAATCCAAAAATTGAATAGGAGTAAACTGAAAAGTCCCCAAACTAAAATTCGAAAACTTGAAAAATTGAAATATCGAAGAACTGAAATGAAAAATCGAGAAATCTAAAATTTAAAAATCGAGAAAGTAAAAAGTCGATACATCGTTAAATTCAGAAGTCAAAAATGGAAAAGTCGAAGAACAGAAATATTGAAAAATCCCAAAACTGCAATATCAAAAAACTGAAAAATGAAAGAAAAACTAACGAATCGAAAAACTGAAAAATCGCAAAACTGAAATATCCAAAAAGTGAGAATCTAAAGAATCGAAAAATTGATAATAAAAAAAGTGAAGTCGAAATATCGAAACCTTTAGAAAATCGAAAAATTGAAAAGTCAAAAACCTGCAAAATCGTAAGAGCGAAAAATTGAATAAAAGTAAACTGAAAAATGAAAGAAAATCTGAAAAATCCGAAAACTGAAATATCAAAAAACTGAGAACCTAAAAAGTCGAAAAATTGAGCAATAGAAAAATCCAAAAAGTGAAGTCGAAAAATTGAAACCTTAAAAAAATTAAAAAATAAAAATTCAAAAACTTGAAAAATCGAAAAATTAAAGAATTGAAGAACAGGAATATCGAAACCCTTGAAAGTCAAGAAATGGGAAAATCAAAACATCGATTAATTGAAAAATCGAAAGTTTGAACAAATGACAATTGAAAAACATAAAATCTAAAACCGGGAAGTCGAAAAATCGATTGATTAAGAAATTAAAATATTTGAAAAATTCGAAAACTTGAAAAACTGAAATGAAAAATCGAGAAATCTAAAAATCTAAAATTTTAAATATTGAAAAATTAAAATATCAAAAAACTGAAAAATCTAAAATCGAGAAATCGAAAAATCTAAAATTTTAAATATTGAAAAATTAAAATACCAAAAAATTGAGAAATCTAAAATTTAAAAATCGAAAAAGTAAAAAGTCGACAGATCGTAAAATCCAGAAGTCAAAAATGGAAAAGTCGAAGAACAGAAATATTGAAAAATCCCGAAACTGAAATATCAAAAACTGAAAAATGAAAGAAAAACCAACGAATCGAAAAACTGAAAAATCGCAAAACTGAAATATCCAAAAACTGAGAATCTAAAGAATCGAAAAATTGAAAAATCAAAAACTTGCAAAATCGTAAGGTCGAAAAATTGAATAACAAGTAAACTGAAAAATCCCAAAACTGAAATGTCCAAAACTGAGAAATTAAAAAATCAAAAAAGTCAAGTTGAAAATTCGAAACCTGAAAAAATAGAAACATTGAAAAACCAAAAAACTTGAAAAATCAATTATTTGAAAAAGCGACAAATAAAAAGTTTATAAAAGTAAAAAATTGATAAATCGAAATATTTAAAAATCGTAAAATTGAAGAGAAAAACTGAAAACCGAAAAATTGAAAAATTGGGAAATTGTAAAATCCAAAAATTGAATAGGAGTAAACTGAAAAGTCCGCAAACTAAAATTTCGAAAAACTGAGAATTCGAAAGTTGAAACAGCAAGAAATTATGGTCGAAACCAGTTAGGATGTGTATCAATTCACGGATTATGGCTTATACATCAAATCGTTTCCGAACGCTTAGAGTCTACATTGGCCTGAGTGCGCTCTGGTCTGTAGATCAAACAAGTTATCTCTCTCTAGTTAGAAACAAACTCTGTTGCCAACATAAGTCAAGGAGTCCTCAACCGTCATTTAATTTAAACTATGACGCTTCTCTATGTTCTCTGGTAAAATGACCAGAATAATTACATTTACAGATAAAAATGTTGATACTGTTGACATTTTAGTTTAATAAGTGAACGCAGAGGGCGCAGTATAGAATGCGTTCTTCAACAGTATTTTCACATTAAAAGTCGGGTTAAGTTTTTTTTTACATTTTCCAAAAATCGTCAAGGTTTAGAAAATCTATTGTAATATTGTGCTGACAAAAAGGCAGATTTCTTGTTACAGAATTATGTAATTTTAATATTTTTTGCGCTTGCGTTAGGTAGCAGGATCAGTTTTGGTTACCATATAGGGACTTTTGTTTTATTACCAACATAAATTTTGTTTACAACAATAATATGAAACCAGATTCACAATGGGCAAAAATGATTATAGCTGTCAAGCTTTAGTATGAATTTCATGTCATAGTGAACTAGTTATCGAAATAATACGAAGAAAGAGTTAAATTGATACAGAGTAGAATCGATACGGCCTTGTTCAGTGTTTGGCGACCACTTTATATAAAACTTTAAACTCTATATGCTTCTACCCTACCTCCAAAGACGTGTTAAAACTAAAATTTCACAAACACTTTTAGACTGCTCAGTAAATCCACTCGCCTAACGATGACCAGAAACGCCGTCTGGGCCCTCTCGAACTTATGCCGAGGCAAAAATCCTCCAACGGACTTCGCCAAAGTATCACCAGCACTTCCGGTACTCGCTCGTTTACTGTTTCATTCGGACGCAGACGTTCTGTCTGATTCTTGCTGGGCTTTGAGCTACTTATCAGACGGACCGAACGAAAAAATACAGGTAAATTATAAAACATAAAATCCACCGTATTTTTGACAGTATGCGTCACGTGTTGATATATTTACTAGGCCGTCATCGACGCCGGCGTTTGTCGAAAACTAGTAGAACTCCTCATGCACCAGCAGCCCAACGTGGTCTCGGCAGCTTTGCGTGCTGTAGGCAACATAGTGACAGGTGACGACGTCCAAACCCAGGTCATCTTGAACTGCTCGGCTCTACACTGTCTGCACCATCTCCTGTCTTCGCCGAAAGAGTCCGTTCGGAAAGAGGCCTGTTGGACTATTAGTAACATAACGGCGGGCAACAGGCAGCAGATCCAGGCGGTCATCGACGCGAACATCTTCCCCGTGCTTATAGAAATTCTGAGTAAGGCGGAATTTAAAACTAGGAAAGAAGCGGCATGGGCGATCACGAACGCGACGAGCGGCGGGACACCCGATCAAATTAGGTATTTAGTTAATCAGGGGTGCATCGGGCCGCTCTGCGATCTGCTGACGGTGATGGACGCGAAGATCGTGCAAGTGGCCCTTAACGGCTTAGAGAATATTCTGCGACTAGGAGAACAGGACGCGAAGAATCACTCGGGGACTAACCCGTACGCGGTGCTCATCGAGCAGTGTTACGGTAAGGCGAATTTTGCTTGATTTGTTTTAATTTTTGTCGTATACCTGTTTGAGGGACGCGTTGCCAACATAATTTTTTAACATTAAGGTGGTATCACTCAGAATTGTCACACGACAGTCGAATGCAACCTTTTTTTGAGTTTTTGTGTCCAATCTAGTGAATCATGATAAAAAATTGCAAACCTAAAGAATCGAAAAAATTGAAAAATCTGGAGCCTGAAAAACCGAAAAGTTGAGGAACTGAAAAACTGAAAAATCGAAACCTTGGCAAGTCGAAAATGGGAAAATCAAAAAATAGATTAATTGAGAAACCGGAAAACTGCAAATTCAGAAACATCAAAACTTGAAAATTAAAAAAATTGGAAAATTGAAAATTCGGATAATTCAAAAATTGAAAAGCCGAAAAGTAAAAAAACGAAAAACCGATAAATCGAAAAATTCAAAAACTGAGACAATCAAAACATCGAAACATTCGAGTCTCGATAAATCGAGTTCTCAAAAATTTGAAAAATCGAAAAATAAAAAATTCGGAAAAAAGAATAATTAAAATATACAAGAACTGAAAACTTGAAAAATTCAGAAATCGAAAAGTCGAATAATAGAAATATTGAAAAATCCCAAAACTGAAACAAACATCCAAAATTGAGAAATTAAAAAATTAGCCAACCGAAAAATCCAAAAATCGAAGAATTGAAGAACTGAAAAATCGCAACTGCGAATTCGAGAAACGGGAAAATAAAAAAATATATATATTAATTGAAAAATCGGAAAACTGAAAATTTAGCAACGTCAAAATTTGAAAAATTGGAAAATAGAAATACCGAAGAACTGGAAAATCAAAAAATCCAGAAATCGAAAAGTCTAAAATTTAAAACATTGAACAATTGAAATATCGCAAAATTGAAAAATGGAGAAATCCAAACATCAAAGAATCAAATAAGAAAAATTCGGAAACATAAAACTTAAAAATCGACAAATCGAAACTCCCGAATTAAAAAAAATTGAAAAATCGGAGAACTGAAAAATTAAAACATCGAAAAATTGAAAAAAAAAAATGAGAAATCGAAGTATAAAACTGTCGAAAATTCGAAAAATTTAAAGTTTAACGAAAAACTGAAAATCCAAAAAGTAAAAAACGGGTCGACCAAAAAACTGCTGGAAAATTAAAAAATTGGAAAATCAACGAATTGGAATCGATTGGCCTGAAAATTTGAAAAATTGAATAAACGAAAAATGTAAAATCGAAAGAAACAACAAAAATTAAGGAAATGAAAAAACAAAATATTGTGACATAAAATCGAGAAAATGAAAAATTGAGGGGACGAAAAATTGAAAAAGGGAAAAATTAAAAATCGAGAATGTGAAAAGTGGAAAAATGAGAAATTGTAGGTACTATTGAATAATTGGAAAATTTGGAAGTCGACAAATTGTAAAATTTAAAAATCAAAAATAAAAAAACGAAAAAGTGTTTTTATTATACAAAAATGTAAAAAGTGAAAATCAAACTTGAAAATTTTAAAAATTGAATACGCGAAAAATTGTAAAATCGAAAGAAACAACAAAAAATAAAAGAAATGAAAAAACGAAAAAATGTGATATAAAATCGAAAAAGTGAAAATTAAAAAAATCGGGAAAATGAAAAATAAAAATCGGAAACAAAAAAATTGGAAAAGGGAAAAATTAAAAACTGAGAAACTGAAAAATCGAAAAATGAAAAACTGTAATATTGAAAAATTGCCAAATTGAAAAACTTATGCAAACCGAAAAATTGAAAATTTTTTGCAGTCGAGAAATTGTAAAATTGAAAAATCAAAAATAAAAAACGAAAAATTACAAAATGAAAACTTGAAAAATCTTAAGAATCGAAAAAGTGAAAAAAAAAGAAATATGTATTATGAAATAGAAATATTGAAAATTAAAGAAATTGAAAATTGGAAGACTGGAAATTCAAAGCCTGAAAATTTGAAAAATTGAACAAATGAAAAATTGTAAAATCGAAAAAAAAAACACAGAAAATAAAGGAAATGAAAAATTGTGATATAAATGTACAAAATAAAAATTAAAAATTTGCCACATTGAAAAATAAAAATTTTAGAAACGAAAAATTGAGAAACTAAAAATTCGAAAAACTGAAGAAACGAAAAATTGAAAAATCGAAAGAAACAACAAGAAATAAAGGAATTGAAAAAATGAAAATTTTTTGACATAAAATCAAGAAAATGACAAAAATTAAAAATTGAGAATGTGAAAAATGAGAAACTGTAATATCGAAAAATTTCAAAATTAAAAAATTGCAACTCGAAAAATTGAAAAATTTAGAAGTCAAGAAACTGTAAAATTGAAAAATCAAAAATAAAAAAACCAAAAAGTGTATAATAAAAACTTGAAAATGTCAAAAGTGAAAATCAAACATGAAAATTTGAAGAAACGAAAATAAGATTAAAAATTGAAAAACTTGAAATTCGAAAAAGTGAAAATTTAAAAAAAAATATGTATTGTAAAATCAAAATATTGAAAATTTTAAGAAATTGAAAAATTGGATAACTGAAAAATCGAAACATCGAAAAATTGGAAAATCGAAAAAACGAGAAATCCACAAATCGAAACATCTGAATTCGACAAATTGAGAAATAAAAAAATTTAAAAATTATAAAAAGAAAAATTAAAACATCGAAAAGTTGAAAAAAAAAGAGAAATCGAAGTATAAAACTGTCGAAAATTTGAAAAATCCAAAGCTTAACGAAAAACTGAAAATTCAAAAAGTAAAAAGGGGGTGGAAACCTAAAAACTGCAAACTGGAAAATTTTAAAATTGGAAAATCGACGACTTGGAATCGATTGGCCTGAAAATTTGGAAAATTAAATGAACGAAAAATTGCAAAATCGAAAGAAACAACAAAAATTACGGAAATGGAAAAACAAAAAATTGTGATATTAAATCGAGAAAATGAAAAATTAAAAATCAGGAAAACGCAAAATAAAAATCGGCGAGTTGAAAAATTGAGGGGACGAAAAATTGAAAAAGGAAAAAATTAAAAATCGAGAATGAAAAATAAAAAAACGAAAAAGTGTATAATAAAAACTTGAAAATTTGAAGAAAAATTGAAAAAAACCTGAAAATTTGAAAAATTGAATAAACGAAAAATTGTAAAATCGAAAAAGTGAAAATTAAAAAATCGGGAAAATGAAAAATAAAAATCGGAAACAAAAAAATTGGAAAAGGGAAAAATTAAAAATTGAGAAAGTGAAAAATCGAAAAATGGAAAACTGTAATATTGAAAAATTGCCAAATTGAAAAACTGATGCAAACCGAAAAATTGAAGGAACGAAAAATTGAAAATTTTGGAAGTCGAGAAATTGTAAAATTGGAAAATCAAAAATAAAAAACGAAAAATTACAGAATGAAAACTTGAAAAATCTTAACGAAAAAGTGAAAAAAAAGAAATATGTATTATGAAAGAGAAATATTGGAACTGGAAAATCAAAAAATCCAGAAATCGAAACATCTAAAATTTAAAACATTGAACAATTGAAATATCGCAAAATTGAAAAATGGAGAAATCCAAACATCAAAGAATCAAAAAAGAAAAATTCGAAAACCTAAAACTTAAAAATCGAAAAACTGAAAAATCGACAAATCGAAACTCAAGAATTTAAAAAAATTGAAAAATCGGATAACTGAAAAATCGAAACATCGAAAAATAGAAAAAATTGAAAAATTGGAATTCCAAAAGGTAAAAAGGGGATGGACCCAAAAACTGCAAACTGGAAAATATAAAAATAGGAAAATCGACGAATTGGAATCGATTGGACTGAAAATTTGAAAAATTAAATGAACGAAAATTTGGAAAATCGAAAGAAACAACACAAATTAAGGAAATGAAAAAACAAAAAATTGTGATATAAAATCGAGAATGTGAAAAATGGAAAAATGAGGAATTGTAATATTGAAAAATAGGAAAATTTGGAAGTCGACAAATTGTAAAATTGAAAAATCAAAAATGAAAGAACGAAAAAGTGTATAATAAAAATTTGAAAAATGTATTAAGTGAAAATCAAAAAAATTGAAAAAAACCTGAAAATTTGAAAAATTGAATAAACGAAAAATTGTAAAATCGAAAGAAACAACAAAAAATAAAGGAATTTAAAAAACGAAAAATTGTTATATAAAATGGAAAAAGTGAAAATCAAAAAATCGGGAAAATGAAAAATAAAAATCGGAAACAAAAAAATTGGAAAAGGGAAAAATTAAAAATTGAGAAACTGAAAAAATAAAAAACTGTCATATTGAAAAATTGGCAAATTGAAGAACATGCAAACCGAAAAATTGAAAGAACGAAAAATTCAAAATTTTGGAAGTCGAGAAATTGTAAAATTGAAAAATCAAAAATAAAGATCAAAAAATTACAAAATGAAAACTTGAAAAATCTTAAGAATCGAAAAAGTGAAAAAAAAAGAAATATGTATTATAAAACAGAAATATTGAAAATTAAATAAATTGGAAAATCGGAAGACTGGAAATCCAAAAACTGCAAAGTGAAAAGTTTTAAAATTGAAAAATGGACGAACTGAAAATTCAAAGCATGAAAATTTGAAACATTCAACAAATGAAAAATTGTAAAATCGAAAAAGAAAACACAGAAAATAAAGGAAATGAAAAAACTGACAATAATTGTGATATAAATCGAGAAAATAAAAATTATAAATTCGCCACATTGAAAAATAAAAATCGGAAACATTTTGGAAACGAAAAATTGAGAAACTGAAAAATCGAAAATAACAACAAGAAATAAAGGAATTGAAAAAATGAAAATTTGTGACATAAAATCGAGAAAATGAAAATGAAAAAAATTTAGAAGTCAAGAAACTGAAAAATTTTGAAAAATCGAAAGATTAAAAAATGAAAAACTTGAAATTCGAAAAAGTGAAAAATAAAAAAAAAAAGAAATGTGTATTGTAAATCCAAAATATTGAAAATTAAAGAAATTGAAAAATTGGAAGACTGGAAATCCAAAAACTGCAAATTGAAAAATTTTAATCGTGGAAAATCCTGGAATTGAAAAATTGAACAAACGAAAAAAGTGTACGTTGTAACAGCAATGTAAATATCGTCATTCTTGCATGTTTTTACTTTTTTTTACACAGAAAACAGAACTGAAAATCAAATTTTAATATAAGAGGGACAAAATATGTTTAATAAGAATTGTTAAGAAAAAAAACTATCCCAAACCAGGCCGAGTGATACCGCCTTAAATTGCAACGGTTGCTAAACGCCGTTTTGACGATGTTTTTGTTTCAGGTTTAGACAAAATCGAGTTTTTGCAATCTCATGTCAATATGGAGATTTACCAGAAGGCCTTTGATATCATTGAACACTTCTTTGGGACGGAAGAAGAGGATACGAGTGTAGCTCCATCGGTTAACCCAGATCAGCAACAATATCATTTCAGTTCAGATCAGTCTGTACCAATGGGTGGATTCAACTTTTGAATAATTTAGCTTATTTACGAGAAAGGAGCATACTTTGAGTATCAAGCCAAAGGATAACTGTCAAGATATCCAAGTATATACATATTTAGTTTGAAGGAAGTGATAGTGTTACACCAATTAGTGTAACATTAGAATTTTATGCATGTATGCTTGAGGTTTTTTATTGTCATTTCAGAAATCTTTCGCTCTAAATTTAGGCTCAGATCGTTACGCTTTTTAACGAGAAGATTTGACGTTTTTGTTTGAAATATGTACAAGTCATATTTTAGTCATTTTCTACTTAATGACTTAATGCTTTAACCGATAAAACATAGTTTGTTGTAAAATTTCGTTAGGCTCGGACTTAATTTAAAAACCAGTGTATTAAGTGGCCTTTTGAGATGTCTGAATAATGCGTGTAAGACGCACTACAACTTCCAAGTGCTTTTGATAGGTAACTTGTTGTACTTTTAAAGTGTCATTGGCTCGTTTTGCCACTTTTAATAACAGGAGAACTGTTACGTTAGTGAATGCCGTGACGTCTAAATTTTAAATAAAATTTACTACTTTGGAGTTTGTCATAGGTAATCGCATTTGTTGAATGTGAAGAAATTGTTATTTTGTATACACATCTGGCTTTCTTTCGGAATTTACGTTAATTACCTAAAAGCTGGCTTTTAACTTCTATGTATATCTTAGCTTATTTTGAATTAGCAACAGTGTACATATTTTACGTAAAACATACATGTATAAATATTCCTAACAGCATATTTGTTTATAGTTTTTATTGTAAAGTAAACTAACATTTAAGTAATGAATATTTTATTGATAATAAAATCCTTTCCAACACGTTACAAATAGTGACGTCAATGGCTTCCCAGAAGGATTATTTTTTGTTTTTGTTTACGTTTTAGTTGGACGAATTTAAATTAATCATGAAATTGATACAAAAATTATTGGTGTTTTTTTTTCTAGGGTTCTTACCAGACTTATAGAATAAGTAATAACGAAAGTAATAAACATTATGCTTTATTAAATTATTGAGATCTAACAAATTCCGTGGTAACGAACAAAACAAACTTCTTTAAACCGCGTCGAGTTTCAAAATTTTACTGGGTCCAGCTTCCGCCTCGACGATTTCCGCTTCCTGGGCCGATCTTTTCAACGCTTCCCCCGGACCCACCCACTTGTCTTCCAAGATCGCAGGAATGGTGCCACATTCATCAGGTTTCGTAGTAACAATTTCCAAACACTCGGTATCGCTTCCTTCAACTTTTCGTTTATACAAAGTGCTGGCAGCTATTTCGTTCTCTAAATCGAATTCTTCTGCAGCTGAATTCAACGTAGGTATTTCAGGTGGTGGAGCTTCTCTTACAACGACCTCTGGTGACGCTTTCCTGACTGTATTTACGCTCGTCGCTGTATGCTCTGGAGCTTTCTTAGACGAGAGAATAATTTTTGTGTATTTCGGTTGCACCTTCGCCGGTGGAGGTGTGTTCATTTTCGGGGTCGGCGATATAATGAAATTTTGCGGTTTATTGATCACCATGAACTTATTCGGGGTGCTCGCTGAAATAAACTTCGGTGTAGGCGTCGAGGTCACAATCTGCGACATAGGTTTGATCTCGGGCGGCGTTAGCGTGTTCTCCAAAATCTGATTATCGTCTGCGAATATAATCGGCAGGTCCATGATATCCTGGGTGGTTAGATTCGTAGGTGGGGGTAAAGTGGTTTGCAACGAGCACGTCTGAGGTAAATAGGAAATCTTTTTGACCGGCTTTGGTGGCTTGTTACCCAAGAGTTGTCTCTTTGACGTTATATACCTGCCTCCTTGTGAAAAAACATGCTTCCAATTCATACCAGATTCCACATTTAAAATAAATCCCTTACCTGGCACCTTGACATTGGTTGGGAAATTTTTGATTTTACCGTCTGGCAACAACACTATCGAATTCGGATTGGTGGTTTTTGTGTTAATTACTGAGGTTTTTGACAAATCGAGCATCTTACCGTTATTTGAGAAAACTTTCGGCGGGATACCGCTTGTTAGTTTTACGTTCTCGAGAACTAAAATGATTTTATTGACACGTACGTGGAACATGTTTTCATTTACCTTTTATTCCGGAAGGGCCGGATTTCACCATAGATGGTTGCATGATGCTTTGGATGTCGCTCTGCAGTAAGCCTGATAGGGAGCGGTTCTGCAAACCCATCGCTTTTGCTGGAAAAGAGCAAGCTTAATGGGTGGTACAACCCTTGTAGGGGGTGGGAGCACGATACTAACCTGTAGAGGCTTGATTGGGTGGAGATGTGGTGTGTTGATTGGTGGATGATGTGGATTTTTCAGGCGTCACCAGCGTCGGTTTTAGGGTTTTAATTTTTTTAACGGGTGTGGGTATGTCGGTGTTTAATTTATCGGTGAGGTTACTGTCGTTGGATGAGGTATCAGGTGTGTGTAGAGTGGAGAGGTGGGGAGGACTACTACTAGGAGAAGAGGTGGTACCTTGGGCGGCCCATTTTGCTTCCAATTTTGATTTGCTCTTTGAGCCCGGTGGACGTCCCACTAATAAAATATAACCCCATTATTTTAACATTTTCGGTGTTTTAGGGATTTTGGTCAAATGACTGAGTAATATCACTATACATAAACACTTGAAGTTTGAATCAGTCATTTGAGCGAAAACATCCTCTTACATTTAAACTGTCCAAAAATCAACCTTTAATGTTTATTGGTACAATTTGTGAGAATACGAGTGCAAGATATTTTCTTAATAATTAAGTGCCAACTACCTGGTGCTTCAATTTTACAACCACTACAACTACTACCAAACACCAATTATTTTCCCGGCACCTCCACCAAAAACATTAAAAGTAAACTTACAGTTAGGGGAACTGTTATGACCTGGTCTAGTGATCCTGGGTGTGGGTGAAGGCGGTTCACTATCTATTGAACTAGTGTTAGAATTGTATCTCTTCCTTTCGGTTTTAATTTTTTTACTCATAATTCCATCAGTCGTCAAGTTTGTGGGAGACTGCCGAATCTGAGGTGGGTATGGAGACAAGATAATTCCGCTAATAAATTCTCCGATTTCATCCTAGAAAAAATAGCGATTAACTACAACAAAATGTCGGGAATTGCTACAACTTACAACAACGCATCGATCAACGACGCTCTGAGTGATACCTTCAGTTTTTTTCTTCTTTTTGTTTACACGTAAATTATCGTCTGCAGCCCCCACGACTATCAAACCCGTTTCAACTCGCATTCTTTCCCGTAAATCTTCCATATCCTCTTGCCTGAAATAATTCAATCACAAATTTTTAAGGTTTAGAAAATAGGACCTGTAGTTTATGAATCCGTGATGGGTTTTTAGCCGTTTCATATTAAAAAGTAATTTTGCATTTTTTTGATTTTTCAGTTTTATATTTTTACAATTTTTCGATTTTTCAATTGTCCGGTTTTTAATGAATCAATTTTTACTTCCCGAGCGTAAGCAAAGGAAGTATTGTAATCGAGTCCGTCGGCCGACTCTCTACTTTTACGTTTTCTCGATCTTTCATGACCCCTAGAAGACGAAGAAATAGGTCTCCCATTTCCGTCTGTCTGTCCGTCTGTCCGTCTGCCGTCCCGGATTTTTCAATTATGAGATTTTTCATTTTTGAATTGTTTATTTGAATTTCAGGATTTTTTCGGTTTTAAAATTTTCATATTTTTCAATTTTTGATTTTTCAACTTAATGATGTTTAGATTTTTCAATTTTAAAATTACACAATTTTTCAGTTTTGTAATTTTACATTTTTTTGATGTTTCAGTTTTACAATTTTTCGATCTTTCAATTGCAGTTTTTAATGAACCAGTTCTTCAATTATCAGATTTTCCAATTTCTCGATTTTTCATTTTCCAACTGCTCGATTTTTCAATTTAATAATTTTGCAATTTTTCATTTTTACGGTCTAATACATTTTGGGGTTTACAATTATCCAATTTTTAAATTTTGTAATTTCATAAATTTTCAATTTTTTTTTTTTTTTATTTGTAATTGTTCATAAATACAATTTCAATTTTCCAAGTTGTTGACTTTTCAATTTAATTATTTTACAATTTCTCGTTTTAAAAGGTAGCCGATTTTTCAACTTTTTGATTGTCAGATTTTACATTTTTAAAATTTTTGGAGATCTCAATAATTCAATTTTTAAAGAATACATTTCTCAATTTTACATTTAACAATTCTACTTCTATTAAAATGTTCGTTTTTTCAATTATTTCATTTTTGATTTTTATTATTATCCGAATTTCTTTGTTTCAAGTTTCCAATTTTTGAAAATTTTAATTTTAAAATCTTTCGATATTTAAATTATAGAATTTTTTCGTTCTCAAAAATTTCAGGTTAACAATTCTACCTGTTTTAAACTGTTCGTTTTTTCAATTATCAAATTTTCAAATTTCTAGACTTTTCATTTTCCAATCGTTTAATATTTGAATTTTAGGATTTTTTCGGTTTTAAAATTTTCATTTTTCAATCTTTGATTTTCAAACTTTATGTTTCAATTTTTTAAGTTTTTGATTTTTCAGTTGATTTATTTTACAATTTTTCATTTTTAAAACATCCCCGATTTTTTAATTATCCGAATTTCATTGTTCCGATTTTTTATTTTTAATACATTTATATAAAAATTTCGATATCCAATTTTCCAAGTTTTTCATTTTTCAATTTCATTAATTTACAATTTTTCGATTTTTCAATTTTGTATTTTACTAATGTCTTATTTTTCAATTTTAAAATTACACAATTTTCCAGTTTTTAATTTTGCAATTTTTTGATTTTTCAGTTTTATATTTTTTCAGTTTTTATTCAATAAATCAGTTCTTCAGTTATCAGATTCTCCAATTTCTCGATTTTTCAATTTAATATTTTTGGAATTTTGGAGTTTACAATTATTCAATTTTTAAATTTTGTAATTCTATAACTTTTAATTTTTTTTTTATTTGTTATTGTTCAAAATTTCGATTTCCAATTTTCCAAGTTTTTCATTTTTCAATTTCATTAATTTATATAGTTTTTCGATTTTTCAATTTTGTTATTTTTGTATTTTACTATTGTCTGATTTTTCAATTTTAAAATTACACAATTTTTCAGTTTTGTAATTTGGCAATTTTTTAATTTTTCAGTTTTATATTTTTTCAATTTTTCAATTGCCCAGTTTTTATTTAATAAATCAGTTCTTCAATTATCAGATTTTCCAATTTCTCGATTTTTCAATTTAATATTTTTGCAATTCTTCATTTTTACAGTCTAATACATTTTGGAGTTTACAATTATCCAATTTTTAAATTTTGTAATTTTATAAGTTAATTTTTTTTATTTGTTATTGTTCAAAATTTCGATTTCCAATTTTCCAAGGTTTCGATTTTTCAATTTCGTAAATTTACAATTTTTCGATTTTTCAGTTTTAAATTTTTTCAATTTTGCAATTCATCGATTTTTCACTTCCCAACTGTTAATAATTTTGCAATTCTTCATTTTTACGGTCCAATACATTTTGGAATTTACAATTATCCAATTTTTAAATTTTGCAATTTTATAAGTTTTTAATTTTTTATTTTAAATTGTTCAAAATTTCGATTTCCAATTGTCCAAATTTTTCATTCTTCAATTTCATTAATTTATATACAGTTTTTCGATTTTTCAATTTTGTTATTTTTGTATTTTACTATTGTCTGATTTTTCAATTTTAAAATTACACAATTTTTCAGTTTTGTAATTTGGCAATTTTTTTATTTTTCAGTTTTAAATTTTTTCAATTTTTCAATTGCCCAGTTTTTATTTAATAAATCAGTTCTTCAATTATCAGATTTTCCAATTTCTCGATTTTTCAATTTAATATTTTTGCAATTCTTCATTTTTACAGTCTAATACATTTTGGAGTTTACAATTATCCAATTTTTAAATTTTGTAATTTTATAAGTTAATTTTTTTTATTTGTTATTGTTCAAAATTTCGATTTCCAATTTTCCAAGGTTTTGATTTTTCAATTTCGTAAATTTACAATTTTTCGATTTTTCAGTTTTAAATTTTTTCAATTTTGCAATTCATCGATTTTTCACTTTCCAACTGTTAATAATTTTGCAATTCTTCATTTTTACGGTCTAATACATTTTGGAATTTACAATTATACAATTTTTAAATTTTGCAATTTTATAAGTGTTTAATTTTTTATTTTAAATTGTTCAAAATTTCTATTTTAATTTTCCAAGTTTTTCATTTTTCAGTTTAATTATTTTACAATTTCTCGTTTTTAAAGGTATACGATTTTTCAACTTTTTGATTGTCCAATTTTACATTTTTCAAATTTTTAGATGTCTCAATCATTCGATTTTTACAGAACAAATTTCGTAATTTTCCATTAATCAATTCTACCTGTTTTAAAACGTTCATTTTTTCAATTATCAGATTATCAAATTTCTAGATTTTTCATTTTTCAATTGTTTGATATTTGAATTTTAGGATTTTTTTGGTTTTAAAATATTCATATTTTTAAATTTTTGATTTTTCAATTTTACAATTATCCAACTTTTTAATTTTACTAATTTTCAATGTTTTTAATTTCAGTTCAAAATTTCACTTTTAATTTTTCAGTTTAAATATTTTACAATTTTTCGTTTTTAAGACAACCCTGATTTTTCAATTATCCGAATTTCATTACTTCGATTTTCTATTTTTTTGATTTTTAATATATCAAAATTTCGAATTCCAAGTTTTTGATTTTTCAATTTCATAACGTTACAATTTTTCGATTTTTCAGTTGTTATTTTTGTATTGACCTATTATCTGATTTTTTAATTTTAAAATTACACAATTTTTCAGTTTTGTAATTTTGCATTTTTTTGATTTTTCAGTTTTTCAATTGCGCAGTTTTTAATAAATCAGCTCTTTAATTATCAGATTTTCAATTTTGGAATCAATCGATTTTTCATTTTCCAACTGTTCGATTTTTGAAATTCCATAATTTTGCAATTCTTCATTTTTACAGTCTAATAGATTTTGGAGTTATCCAATTTTTAAATTTTGTAATTTTATAAGTTTCCATTTTTTTTTATTTTCAATTTTTCAAAATTTCAATTTCCAACTTATATTTCTGCAATTTTTCAGTTTTATTCTGTAATTTTCCTATTTTAGATTTTTCATTTTTCAATTGTTCAATATTTAAAATACATACAGATTTTTTTCGTTCTCAAAAATTTTAGAGTTTCCAAACCTCTCGATTTTTCATTTTTTCGGTCGTAGCCAAACACAAAAAATTTATAGGCTGTCAAAACTCGTTTTCTACATTTATTTCAATGTATAGAGATCATCATAAATTAAAATGAGCAAAATTAAATTTTATAATTTTTCAAAGAAGTCGTATGGACATAACCTTTGACCATTTTTTTTTTATTTCGTATACCAGTTTCATAAATTTTAAAATATAAATTGATACTTACAGAGACGTACTCGAACACTGTCCAATCACAAACAGTACAGGACACTGCAACTCTAGCAAATTATCATCAGGTTCCCCTCTCTTTCCTTCGGCAGTCAAAAGTGAAAAACCTATACTTATAACACACAAAACTTGCTCAACTTGAGCAATTTGCAATGCAAGAGTTGCTCCAAACCCAAATCCCGCCAAAACAATGTTTCTTCCAGGATAATCCAGACGAATATCCTGGATTTTATTTCTTGTCATTACAAACATCTGATCTACACAATTCATCATAGCCGTTTTGTGTCCCGGTCCTCCTGAAATTATTGTCACCCTACTATCTCTATTTTCCAGTTGTATAAAACTTGGTTTGATTAATTTAACGATTTTTACCTCCATAATTTGACGGAATTGTTATCACAGTCGCCAAATTTGAGAGCAAATTAATCCACTTCAACATCCTTTTTGAAGAAATGGGGGTTGATGGCACCACTACAATCACCGGATTGCCTGGCAACTTCTTTGGTTTATCTTGCATCAAACTTAAAGCGACAGGGTCCCAAGGTCGCTTCATTAGGGGAAACAGACTTTCATAACCCAACATACTCAGTCTGCTTGAGTTAGCGCCCGTCATCATTTTATCAACAAAAGTTGGAAGTTTGGACCTAAGGGTCTACAATATTTATTACTACAAGTAGGTATATAATTTTGAAAAAAAGTCTCACTTGGAGAATATCCAGATATGACGCAAGATACTGTGTGCTGAGATGATCAATCAATATCTGGTGCAACCACTGTGTATATTTTGGGTCCCATGATACAGTGGCCATTAAACGCCGCACTCTTTCCACAGATTTATCAATAGTGACGCGTCTAGCAACAGGTTCATTATGTGAATCAGTGTGTGCCAGTCGTGCCAAATGATCACTATTTAAAATACTAGACATTCCATTAAATAACCTATTTTGAGTGGTCGTCCACGCAGTTCTGTTAAAAAAAAAGTTTTCTCAACAATTTTGACAAATTTTAAAACACACCTCTGAACACTTTCTTCCCAATCATCACCCCCATCGTCCACTCTGGCCAACGCCGCATGCCTCTCACACTCCTCCATCAAATTTTTCGCCTTCGTTTTATCATAAATCGGCGACGGTTCATTGCTAGTCGCCACCACATCAATTACTTCTTCATAATCCTGGACCGGCGCCAGCGGGTTCGTCGATTTTCGTTTACTCGGTGGCTGTTTTGGCATGAACAGGGTTTTCGTGGGGCGCAAGAACGTGCTCTCTGGACGCCAGTTCCACGGTCGGGCGTAGCAGTGGTCCATTGGGATCCACCAATGTTCTCTTTCGTAGGGGTTCACTAGGTGACTTGTGTACGCGAAGCGTCCGTCGCTTCCCACCACCATGTTACTTACGGGTGCTACAAACTCGTTGAAATCGTTAATGGGGTGATTTTCGGTTGTTAGTATTTGCAACTAAATCAAAAAAGATTTAGTTTGTTGTAAGGGACATAACCTCAATGTGTACCAGCTTCTGAGAACCGTCTAGAAAACCATCTACCTGTGCTGGATTTCTGTTTGTAAGTAGTCTTTCAGACATGCCACTGGGATAATAGGTGGGTTAGGGCGAGTGGAATGATAGTTGGACACCGATTTCTAAATAAAAACACAGAAATATCTTGTTTGTTCTTGTTGACAGTCACTGAATATTCGTTTCTGCGAATTCTGCGTTACACTAAAATTAAAACTTGACGCAACGAAAGTTACTACGATGCGTCATTGTGTGTAGGGGAGGATAGAGCACATGGAATTTACATCCAGGAAGCAGTGGGTAAGGTCGAGCACACTGAAACGAGTCTAATTTTGCCTTTTTGAATTTATTCTGTCGTGATTCTGTCTTAGCCCTCGTGATAGAACGAATCAACACAGTTACAGTATAAAATAAAAGCAAAAATGTCCATAATTAAAGTCGCGATCTTTTCTATAGAACCACTCCCTAGTGTAAATTTTCAAAATTTGTTTGGTGTACGTGACCTTGACGGGTTTCTGGGGGAAACATATGTGTCAAAAATTTGACAGGTTAGATGGCCCCATTGTCAATGTAGATATTTTATTTTAATAAATAGATGAACAGAACATACAATCTGTACCGGATACAGTGCGGCATAGCTAAGGGCAACCGAAACATTCGTGTTGTGCTAATTTCGATTGCCATATCAACTGCCGCTACCAACTGCGTTCGGCGTAAAGTACTAGATGACAGGGCTACCAACTTGACTTTTTATCGAGTGGTTCCGTAGAAATGACCGCTACTGTATATAATTATTTGTTTATTTCTGAAGCGCTCTATAGCTTCCTTGTTATATTACATATTTCGCTTCAACACATACCTAATTTAAACACATTTTTCAACTGACAGCTGAAATTAATGAAAGTGGATTTTATTATTAAATGATTGTCAGATTGTCACAGTTGAATTTGATTAATTGCTTAACTAGAGTTAAAAATTTGTTTTCTCTTTCTGAATTAGATAGTGGAACCTGGTTTTATTGTTCATAAAGAAAATAGACTTTCTAGATTTATTTATTGTTGAAAAAGAAAACAAGTTAAATTTTTGATACTCATTTGTTACATCGAATGTGCCATTTAAAATTTACTATCTTTTTTATTTATAAAGATAAATCGTTAAAATTCACTGATATAAAACACTTTTTTTCTTCAATATTTTTGAACTACTATAACATTTCGAATAGAATTAATGGCAAATGTTTTATCGGTCTGATTTTTGACCCAAGGTAGTTATTGTATACATTTAGCCTGAAATATTATTTTTCTGTTACCGATAAAAAAAGGTGTATTTTTAGGGATACAGAAAGTGTAATATTTTCCCAAGTCAGAGTAGTTTAAATTGGCTCTAGATCTATATATGACGTCATAGCGACATTTGAGTAATTTTAAGAATAAAATTTTACAATTTGTCGTGACACATTTTAGAACAATTAGTAATACACTAATATTGATTTAATAGTTGCAGGACATTGATTAAAATTTAGCAGTTGTTTTAATCTGCATTTGTTTTTTCTTTTAATTTCTTTCGTATTTTTGGACATAAGTACTATTTCAGTTGGTATGAATGAACTTTCTTGAAATTGGTGCACCTGTCACTCCACTTTACTTCTTGTTGTGAAAACTGACATCAGGTGATTATCAGTAACATTTATAGGTTAAAATTTGTCATTGATTTATTTATTATTAAAATCTCATATCCAAACTTCTTGAGCATTTAAAAGTGACAACTCCAAGTATTTGAATCAGGTTTGGCAATAGTAGCACAAGAAAATTCTCGCAATTAAAATTATATTGCCAACTCAAACTGTACGTGTTGATCACGCTGCATATTTTTTTAAAAGACATTGAAAAATTGGATTTAAATTATTTCTATTCGAAAATTACATAATAAATTAAATTCACTTTATAAATCCGGTCAAATTTAGGGTAATGTTGACGTCTGTACGCCATTCGTTACGGATTTTTTATCTTGATGTTTAAATGACTGAAAACATTTCGTCAAATTCTCATCATGCCTGACAGAATAAGGAAAAGGCAAAATCCATATTTCCTTACAAAAATTTACCATCTTAAACGTGTTTCAAGTTTCTAATAATAAAAAATCATCACAATTGAGATGGGGTGGGTGGGCGGGGTTTATATTGTGCCCTTTTTTTTCTTAATGTACATAGTATTCTTTGAACAACACGATACTCAAAAACATGTTTTTAATTTCTTGTAAAGAAGTATTCTGCAGTTAAGTTCTGCCCACTTGGTTCACGACGAATAAAAAAATCATCAGAATTGAGACAGGGTGGGTGGGCGGGGCATATATATTTTGGCATTTCTTTCTTAAAATGTGTAGTCATTTTTTCACAACAGGAAACTTAAAACATGTTTAAAATAAAAATGTGTATAGGCAAATATCGATTTTGCATTTACGGCTCCGCCTCTCGGTCTGACAGCAAATGAAAAATTCATCACAATTGAAATCGAGACGGATGGGTGGGGCTTCTTTTTTGGTTTTCTTTTTTAACTTTTCTTTATATAATGCGATCACTTAAGAATATATTTCACATGGTAATTTCTCGTAGAAAAATAAGGATTTTACAATTAAGCTCCGCCCCTCGGCTTACGACGAATAAAAAACATCATCAGAATTGAGACAGGGCGGGTGGGCGTAGCTTATATTTTGACTTTCTTTTCTTAATATACATAGCCACCTTTTCACAATGAGAAACTTAGAACATGGTTAAAATGGTACATTTTTGCAAGGAAATATGGATTTTGCAATTATGGGGCGGAGCCCAAGCTCCCTTTATAGTGATTAGGTTAGGGTATATCATGATCTTGAAGAGACATGATGATGACGTAGAAAGTACCTCTTACGCGGTTAATTTTAAATCTAGTTACTTTTTCCCATTACATTGCAAGAGCGGTTTTGCCAAAGACTTCAAATATATTGAGACAGAATATTTGAAGTCTTTGGATTTTGCCGAAACTGCCATTGTGTTACAAAACCTTTGTAGCCAGGAGTGCCAGGACGTAATCACAGTTAGGGTATTCACAACAAGATCCCAAAAACCCTACCGAGGCACTTTCTACGTCATAAACGAGTGGTGGCTCCCCTTCCTCCTGTAACAGGTCTGTCTACAAACCCGCTATATGCACTAACCTAGTCACTATTAAGGAACCTTGGGCGGAGCCTAATTGCAAAATCGATATTTCCTTATACAAATTTTCCATTTTAAACATATTTTAAGTTTCATGTTGTGAAAAGAAGTACACATATTAAAACAAATAGGTAAAATGTAAGCACGCCCACCCGCCCTATCTCAATTGTGATGATTTTTTTTATTCGCCGTTAACCAAGGGGCGTAGCTTAACTGCAAAATACTTATTTCTTTACAAGAAATTAAAAACATGTTTTTGAGTATTGTGTTGTTCAATGAATACTATGCAAGTATATTAAGAAAAAAGGCAAAATATAAACCCCGCCTACCCACCCCATCGCAATTGTGATGATTTTTTTCATTCTTAGAAACTTAAAACATGTTTAAGATGGTAAATTTTTGTAAAGAAATATGGATTTTCAAATTGGGTTTTTGCCCTTAGGTCTGCCAACGAATGAAAACTTCATTACTAGTTATTTGGATCAGGGCAGGCATGTGTGGCCCTTAATCTTTGGCTTTAATTTTGTTTTAATATACATACTCGTAGCATTCTTTGAATAACATGATACTCAAAAATATATCTTACATGGTAATTTCTTGTAGAGAAATAATAAGGATTTTGCACTTAAATTCCGCTCCTTTGGCTCTCGACGATTAAAACAAATTTTCACAATTGAGATAGGGCGGGTGGGCGGGGCTTATATTTTGCCTTTTTTCTTAATATACGTAGTCGTTTTTTGAGAACAAGAAACTTAAAACATGTTTAAAATGGTAAATTCTTGTAGACAAATATGGATCTTACAATTAAGCCCCACCCGTCGATCTGACAACGAATGAAAAATTCACCACAATTGAGAATTGAAATCGGGGCGGGTATGGGTGGGGCCTAATCTTTGGCCTTATTTTTTTCTTAATATACATAATTAGTATTCTTTGAACAACACGATACTCACAAACATGTTTTTAATTTCTCGTAGAGAAATAAGGATTTTGCAGTTAAGCTCCGCCTTCTTTCATCACGACGAATAAAAAAAGTCATCACAATTGAGACAGGGCGGGTGGGTGGGGCTACATGTTGCCTTGTTTTCTTAATATGTGTATACTTATTTCGACAACAAGAAACTTAAAACATGTCTAAAATGGTAAATTTTTCTAGTAATCAACTTAATCCCCCAATTTTCTTCTACACCCAAAAGGTCTATTTCAGTTGATCGAGCTCTAATTTTACTGGTCGGCTAGAGACTCGTTCAATACCAGTGGGCAAATAAAGAACGACCTTCACTCTCATTTATGACGTTTTTTGATATCTGAAAGTTTTACCTTCAACATTTCAGGGATACGTTTCGACACCTCCTTTGTTTTAATAAGCTCACGTTTCGCTAATTCAGACTCTAATAATATTAATTAATTGTGGGTAATTTAAGTTAACTCAATCACTTCTTTGTAGATATTGTGAATTAAAAAATCGTAACTAAGAATTAATAAATAAAGTGATATACTGGACACTTTTTGTTATAATTTTTATATTGGTCATTCTTTTTCGGACATTTGAAATTTAAATTATTACCACACGATGTAACAACTGTATCGTTTAAATCTCGCAACAAAAATACTTTTTTACGAGTTAATATTAATAAGAAATATTTCAGCTACATATCATTTAAAATTTCACAATAATGTCTGCAATTTTAGATATTCGCCTAATTACCAATTACATAAAGATAAATTTCAGAGCTCACTTCTTACATTACCATTAAAAAACGCTACAATTTTCGAAAGTGTATTAATTTCTTTATCATTCCATTCCAGAATCTCTTTTTTCAATTTCTTTGTATTAAAGCGATTTTCTGTATACATTTATATTAACACAAATTTATATTAACATCATGATGTTGCACTTTCACTAACCAAATGAAAAATTGATCTTTATGCATACGGTTGGCCATTAGTGTAACCATTGCGAATATGATTAAAACGCACGTGCACTCTTTAATTCTTCAAC